AGCGACCTTCTGGTGCATATGGGTTTTTGAGATGCCTGCCTTCCTATTCCATGTCAAAGTTGGGGACAATGTTCAATCAACTTTGCCATGAAATGTGAAAAGAAAGCCTGACTCAGAAAGGATATTGAAATGTGGGAACAGGAGAAAGTGTTTTTTAAGTCTTAAAGTGTACCCTTCAAGGAAATGACTCAAAGTGTCACATTGTGAATTCCTTTTTTATATACTTGGGCTTCACAAGGGCAGTATCATCTCCCAAATTAGTAAGTCTGGCTGATCCTCATCATCATTATTACCTCATTTATTAGCACTTTCTAATATTAGACAATTGTGCTAAGTGTTTTGCATATATTACTCCATTTACTTCTCCCACAAAACCTATGAGGTAGTCACTGATAACATTCTCATTTCATACAGAGAACATGGAGGCTTAATTCCAACATCAGTAAGACCGTGGAGATGTGGAGCACCTGGCTAGAGGGAAGTAAGTGACTTCCTGAGGCACTGAGAAGGAAGAAACACAGTTAAGAGCAACCTGCAAACCCTAACATGTAGCTATCATGGAATAACAGAATGAAGAACTCAGAAAAGTGCTTTCCCAATATTTCCAGGGCTCTTTTTTTTTTTTTTTTAATTTTAATTGGTTAGTATTTTATTTATTTATTTATTTATTTATTTATTTATTTATTTATTATTTTTTAAAATATATTTTATTGATTTTTTACAGAGAGGAAGGGAGAGGGATAGAGAGTTAAAAACATCGATGAGAAAATCATCAATCAGCTGCCTCCTGCACAACCCCCCACTGCAGATGTGCCCTCAAGGAAGGTACATGCCCTTGACCAGAATCAAACCCGGGACCTTTCAGTCCGCAGGCTGACGCTCTATTCACTGAGCCAAACCGGTTTTGGCATGTTATTATTATTATTTTTTAAAAATAATTTCTTAGTGATTTCTTCCTCAGTACTCCATTGTCCTTTCATTCTTTTACTTTTTTTCTTTTGTGGAAGCCATGTTCTTTGGAAGCTTGCTTAGGCCAAGTTAATGGCTTTTTAGGCTTTCTCCACATGAATAGGGGTTCACTTTTTGAATAATAAGAATTACATGTCACAGGGGGCATCAGGGTTTTAGAGAGGCTTAGGTGGGGCGTGGCCAAAAAGAGGTTGGGAACCACTGCACAGAGTGTGCCGGCCAGAATCCTGCGGAGCAGGGAGTGAGAGCTTTCCAATGGAAGGGAAGGGAGAAGACTCCTCTACACTCCCCGCCCCCCACCCACAGAGTAACAGATGGCCACTTATATGAGATTTTCCCCTATGAGTCAAAATTTGTCCTGCCATAGGAGACCAAATAAAATTCAATGGTTTTAAGGAGCACACTTGAAAAAATTGTCACCTTGAAGTGATGGATGGCTTAATTAGAATTTTAAAGAAAAGAGAGAGAAAGCACACACATACTTCAGTTCACGGCATTTTCCAAATTGCTGGAGGTATAATATTCTTGGTTTCTAGGAGATATGTAAATGACTCACTGGTATTTTTAACTTGCAAGGAGATGGTGCCAGGTTTCTAGTTTGAAACTGAAGCTACATCTTTTATCCATCTAACTTCATATAGAGAGGTACATCTTGGAGATGAATACAAATCTCAAATTATTCTTATCCAAATGTGCCCAACATTGTACCTAATACTATGTAGTAGTCATCATGATATTCTCACAGCCGTGGGTGCTTAAGATCAGATGTGGACTCTTCCTCTTTTATTTTTTAAATTTATTTTTTTGAGTTGAGAGAGAGAAAGAAACATTGATTTGTTCATGCATTTATTGGTTGACTAGTGGCCTAGAGCACAGATTCTTGCTCATTGAAAAGAAATTCATTAGGAGAAATATTTTAATATCGTTATTAGCTCTTTATAAGTGTCAGAGATGAAAGAAAATTAGTAAAATGCATATGAAAAGAATTATAATTTGATTAATAAACAAAAACATGATATAACAACAACAAAGACATAATATAAAAACAACAAAAATATGATATAAAAACAACTTTGATAAAAACAATGACTGATAAATTGATTAAACTTATCCTAATATCTCCCTGTATGCCATATTAAGAGTAAAAACACTTTTCAGAGTGCTTGACTAATTTCCCCTGTGATGAAGTATTTACAACTTTAACTTTAGCATCACACGTTCTTTGAACTTGAGAGAAAGAACATATAACTGACTATGTCTGAAAATAGGTTCGGGTAGAGATATTCCTACTCTGTCTAGAGTTGTCCTTGTGGTTTGTTAATGGTCTTCAGACATATTCTGTTGATGCTGCCGCTTTCTTTAAGCTTCAGAATGTCAACAAAAGCAACAAAATTCACCATCGACAATGACAGAGATAGAAACACACATGCAATGGGTGCCAGTGAGAGCTTTATATGCATCAATCATGTGCGAATCAACGTTTATTTTTAAGTTGCCAGTGCATGTCATATGTACAGGTCGGTCACTTAGCCTTTTATATATATATATATATATATATATATATATATATATATATATATATATATATATATATGGTAGAAGATTCTTATATGTGTCCTGACTGGGAATCAAACCAGCAACCCTTGGGTACTGAGGGTGACATCAAACCAACTGAGCCATGTTTTTGGCTTAAGATAGTTTGAGTTGAGTTTTTATTTTTGTAATAAAAAGTCCTTGCTAATAGAACACTATTTCAAGATATTCTCATATCTAATCTAAATCCATCTGCTGGAGGTCTGGGGCTAATCTCTTCTATCTCCCCCTTCAAATTCTAAGCCATTTGGAAAGGTCTAGGAAGGGTTTCCTTATAAATTGTGTTTGGAGTAATGTCGTTTTAGCCTGGTGCTAAATGATGGCTAATATGCAGTATATTATTGAACTGTATATTTTTTCATTGAATTCAGAGAGGAAGGGGGAGGGAGAGAGAAATATCAGTGATGAGAGAGAATCATTGATAGGCTGGGTGCTGGACACGGGCATGTGTCCTGACCGGGAATTGCACCGTGACCTCCTGGTTTGTAGGTTGATGCTCATTCACTGGCCCTAATTCCTCTCTTACCTACTTCTTCCAAACCATCTTTAGAAAGTTGGGTCTGTAAGAAAGCATTCTCTCAGCCAGTGGGATGTAGAGCCAGGATCTGTCACCAACAGAACAGGGCATATCACCTAGCATTGATGGTGTAAGCCCACGACTTGCTTTGCCAGTGCAGTGCTCCTGCTTCCCACGGCTGGTCCTGATGTCGCTAATCACAGAAGTCATCTTCCTGATGTGCAGAAAAGGACAGTGACCTCAGGGAATCCGTTTTTACATAGGCCTTTCTTCCGTGGGGGATGTCAAAGAGTCACCCTCCCCTTCCTTTCTTGGGTTCTTATCTCCCTTCCTCTGGTCTTAGCACCTCACCCTTCTTCCTCCCACATTGTCATAGTACCTTCCCCAAGGGATTGGCATTGGCTCCGAAGGGAGCAATCGGTGTCCATCTCCCAACTTTCTGAACTGGATTCAAGTCTCCTCTGTTCCTTTCCTCAGGCAATGCCTTCGACAAGTTACTCTCCTTTCTCGGAGCCTTCAGACAAGCTGTTCCTCCCAATGGAATGCTTTTCCCTCTCTTCTCACTTGACCAGCTTTTTGTCTTCCTTTGGACCTCAACTCTGACGTCCTCAACTTAAATATTAGCTCCAGCGACATCGTTCCTGCCAGTTCTATTAAACTAGGACTCGCACCATGACCTCCACCTCCGCCACTGATTTCACAACAGGAACGGCCACTGTGTTTTAAATGTGGACTGATACTAGATGACAGAATGTGTTTACAGCTAACAACTGAAATGAGAAAGTACATTGAAATGTCTTTTAAAAATATACTAAGAGTGCCCGGGCCCTGGCTGGTTTGGCTCAGTAATAGAGCGTCAGCATGTGGACTGAAAGGTCCAGGGTTTGATTCTGGTCAAGGGCACATGCCCAGGTTGCGGGTTCGACCTCCAGCAGGGGATGTGCAGGGAGCGGCCAATCAATGATCTCTCTCTACCTCTCCCTTCCTCTCTGAAATCAATAAAAATATATTTAAAAAAAATAAAAATATACTGTAAGAGGAAAAATTGTCCCAAACCTGGACTGGGAAGAAATGAATATTTCTAATGAAATGCATAAGGAGTTTTCTGAATTGTAACTGGTTTATTTTGGGGCAATGGATCACCCATCCATGTAACTGACTTGAGTGACCTTAAACAAACATTCTTTTCTATGCAATCAAAAAAGATTACGTTTTATAAAAAAAGAAAAAAGAAAAGAAAAAAAAAAAAGATTACCTTTTGCCGCAACCGGTTTGGCTCAGTGGATAGAGTATCAGCTGCAGACTGAAGGGTCTTGGGTTCGATTCCAGTCAAGGGCATGTGCCTTGGTTGCGGGCACATCCTCAGTGCAGGGGTGTACAAGAGGCAGCTGACTGATGATTCTCTCTCATAGATGTTTCTAGCTCTCTATCCCTCTCTCTTCCTCTCTGTAAAAAAATCAATAAAATATATACCTTTTAAATTTCCCCATAAAATATTTCTATCAAGAAGGAATCCTGGGTCTGCCAGAAGCCTTTCCCTTGTGGTCAAATTGTAATAAAACTACAGTGTGCTTGTAACCAAATTGTCTAAAAATTTTGCTTTGCTTTTGTTTTTAACAAAAAAAATAACATCTTATAGTACCTTTATTTGCTATTAATTGTTCATAATTTGTTTTGGGTCTTTTCCTTAAAAGTAAACTGCACGCCATTAAACTATGAGCCCCAATAGGACAGGGACCAGGCTTACACTGCGGGGTGCTTATCCCCAGGAACAGCTATTGATAGCTCAGTCCCTGGCAAATAGAGACGCTGCCATGAAATTTGTTAAATTAGCAAGTAATCACTGAACGAGTAAAATTTATTTTTTATTTTTTAAATGTATTTTTATTGATTTCAGAGAGGAAAGGGATAGGGAGAGAGGGATAGAAACATCTATGATGAGAGAAGCATTGATCAACCACCTTCTGCACGTCTCCCACTGGGGATGGAGCCCACAGCCAGGCATGTGCCCTTGACTGGAATCGAACCCGGGACCCGTCAGTCCGCAGGCTGTTGCTTTATCCACTGAGCCAAACCAGCTAGGGTTGAACGAGTAAAATTTAAATGTGTGCACATTTACAGACTAGACACAAAATTAGTGTGAGTCTCCTCTTTGCTGTGTGGGGGGAGGGGAGGGAAGGGAGGTAATTGAGTGTCCGTGCAGCAGAGAAGATACCAACATGTGAAGGCTGCACCCAAAGGGTCTGCGGGGGCAAACCTTGGTAGACAGATTGTCTGCGAGGGCACTAAAAGGATCGAGTGATTTGCCTTGACTCTTGTACCCCATTAGTGCCAAATGACGCGTTATAAGTCATTAGCTCAACCTAAGGCTTCTCTGTGTAACTTCTAGAAGGCATTGCAAATACCCTCTGGGTAATTTTTTGACCCGGTGCTCTCGCATTTAAGGTGTCTTTCATTGTCTTCCAGATGCAACCTTTCTTCCATTTAGAGGGGAAAAAAGAATATTGCTGAATCCTTCCTCGCACTGGTTAGTGCTCAGGACGCCATCGGCCTCCTGCAGGTCTTCCTGCCTGTGCTGGTGCGGGCTCAAGTGCATGAATGTAGTCTAGGAGACCGGAGGAGGCATTTTTAGCATTGTGCCATTCAAGGAAATGCTCGGGGTCCAAACATGGGACAGAAATAGATGGGAACATGGTATCTGCGGTTCAGCTTGGCTTGCTTTCTTCGCTTAGCCAAGAACTGATTTCATCTTTATATTTTGCGATAGTCTTTACAGTGACTTAAAAATGTAACATACAATCTTTAAAAAAGATGATCTGTTATGCCCAGTGACCCAAGATGGATATTTAAAAGGCTTTAAAACCAAAATATAATGCAATTCACTGTAGTGCTGCTTTCAGTATTATTTGGGGTTTTAAAAAAAGACATACTATTTTTTTCACTGACTATAAAATATATGTCTATTTTGAAAATAGATAAAATGCATGAAACAAAAATCATCATTAATCCCTAAGCCCAAAGCTAATGGCTGTTGATATTTTGGAATGTATTCCTTCTCTCTTTTCCTATCGTCAGGGACAACTTCAATGGCATGGGATGTGTGTAGTCACACAGGACTCATGTTCAGAAGGGCCCTACACTTGGTATGAGGCTCTACTATTGCATTATTGTCTTGGCGTTATTGATAGTTTTTTAACAAGTGGTACTGCGTTTTCATGTTGTACTGGGCCCTACAAATTATGTAGCTGGTTCAGTCATACACACACACACACATATTCACACACTGATTATATATGTATATACATAGGTTACATACATAAACATGTATTATATACAACCGTAACATTTATAACCTGTGCCATTAAAATCCTAAATGTCTTTGTAAAGTTATTTTTAGTACTATATGTATTTCATCATATGGAAACATAGTTATTTAATTATGTTCCTATTTTTGCAACCTAGATTATTTAAATTTATTTATTGTTATAAATGATGAGAAACATCTTTTTGCATTATTTTAAAAAATGTATGTCTAATCATTTCCTGAAAACAACATCCCAGAAGTAAAACTGAAGGAATAAAGGGACATAAACTGTTTTGGACAGTTGAATTTAAATCGCCAAATAGCTTTGCAGAAGGATTGCTATTATCAACAGAGGGTGAAAACTCCCTCTTAATACTCTCAGCAGCAAAAAAATATAACTGAAAAAATATTTGGTAATTGAATAAGTTAAAATATGCCCTGGCTGGGTAGCTCAGTTGGTTAGAGCATCATGGTGATATACCAAGGCTGTGGGTTTGCTCCCTGGTCAGGGCACATATAAGAATTAACCAATAAATGCATAAATAAGTGGAACAACAAATCAATGTTTCTCTCTTGCTCCCTTCCTCCCTCCCTCTCTCTCTCTCTCTCTCTCTCTCTCTCTCTCTCTCTCTCTCTCTCTCAAATCAATCAATCAATAAAAAGTTAAAGTATTATTCAATTACCTTCACTTCCATTTCTTTGCTACTAAAAGAAAGTTTTTTTTTTTTTTTAATATATTTTATTGATTTTGTACAGAGAGGAAGGGAGAGAGATAGAGAGTTAGAAACATCGATGAGAGAGAGTCATCGATCAGTTGCCTCTTGCACACCCTCTACTGGGGATATGCCCGCAACCAAGGTACATGCCCTTGACCGGAATCGAACCCGGGTCCCTTCAGTCCCCAAGCCGACGCTCTATTCATTGAGCTAAACCGGTCCCGGCTAAAAGAAAGTTTTTTAATTTAAATTTTTTTTTATTGATTTCAGAAAGGAAGGGAGAGGGAGAGAGAGAAACATCAACGATAAGAGAGAATCATTGATTGACTGCCTCCTGTACGTCCCCTACTGGGGATCAAGCCAGCCCACAACCTGGGCATGTGCCCTGACCAAGAATCAAACAGTGGCCTTTTTGTTCATAGGCCAACGTTCATCCATGGAGCCACATCTGCAGGGCAGAAGTTTTAAAATATATATTTATTATTCAGGGAAAACAATATTTCCTTTTTCTCATGACAGGGAAGAGGTGGCAGCAAGTGCCTACAAAAGGGTGTATCGAGGTTTGACAAGCACAGCAGGTCGTCGGTGGGTCCAGGTGTCCTTCACACTCGCTTCTTCGGTTAGGAGGCACGGGGTGGGGTGAGGGCTTCCCTGCCTGCGATGGAATCCCGATTCCAAAGCAAAGATGGGACATGGGGGAGAGGTGCGTGCATGTCTTCGGTGGAAAGGAGCACAAGGCGTGGAATTCGAGGCAGAGGCAGACCCTGGAAAAAAACCAAACTCAGATCCCCGGAGAGCGAGGGTTGGCTGCTCAGAGCAGGAGGCAGGAGGGAAGGTGTGGGAGGGCACTGAGGGCAAAGAAGATGTGAGGTGCCCACTAAGCCCAGGCAGACCGCCTCCCAAAACAAGGGCTCGCTCTTAAGACACGGGTAGGTGACCAAGTGAGGAAGGAGGAGGGGGAGTGAAGATGAGAAGAAGGTCAGAGCAGAGGAGAAGCCTTCACCCGAAGGGGAGTGATGCTGAATTAAGGATTTGGAGAGCTGAGGGGAAGGTTTATTATTGGCGCAGTCAGCACCGGGAGCAGCACCTGTAACAACCTGCACAACCTGCAGAGCCGCTCCTGGGAAGCAGGAGCCTGAGCTGAGCTCCCTGGCTCCTCAGAGGACGAGGACAGGCAGGGAAGGGCCTTGATAAGGCAGTCAGGGCCGTGGCGAGTGGAAGAAAAGTGGTAACCAGGCCAAGTATAGCAACGTCTCCAAATTCCTGAGCTCATTGTCCTGGAGCTGGAACATATGACTGCTCCCTGCACCCTTCAAGTGGTATCCCTCCACTGCACTCCCAGTCCTTTTTCTTTTTTTAATATGTTTTTTATTGCCCAGCTGGCATGACTCAGTGGTTGAGCATCAACCTATGAACCAGGAGATCACGGTTCAATTCCCGGTAAAGGCATATGCCTGGGTTTTTATTGATTTCAGAGAGGAAGGGAGAGCGAGAGAGAGATGGAAACATCCAAACATCAATGATGAGAGAGAATCATTGATGGATCAGCTGCCTCCTGCACGCCCTCTTCTGAGGATCTAGCCCCCACACCAGGCATGTGCCCTGATTGGGAATCTACCTATGACCTCGTGGTTATAAGGTGCTGCTTGGCACGGAGGCCCCGTCTTCCCCAAGGACCTCGATGGTGGCCAGTTATTGGCTCGTTGTGTCTAGGGTTTCGATTCCACCCTTACTATTCCTTTAGGATGTCGGCTCCCCCACGCTGCCCTCTCAAGGTGTAGGGTCCACAGGCGTGCCTGCGCGGGGCCCCTGGTTTTGGAGAAGGGGAAGGTGCAACATTCCTCCCTCAGAGACGGTGACTATGCTTGTGCTTCCTGAAAATGTCTGCAACCAGAGACCCTGAGCAGGAAAACAGATATCGAGATGGGGACTTTCTCAACAGACCTCGTAGGGGAAGGAATTAGGCCAAAGGAGGGACTCTGGCTTTCCCACCTGACAGCCCGCCGAGACCTACATCTCCTCCACGCCCTGCGAAAAGATCATGATGAGGCCCGGCTCCCGCACCATGCCCTCGCCCATGTGCCGGTTCTCGCAGGCCATCACCACCACGGCCTGCCGGCCGGGGATGCGCTTGGCCACGTAGTTCTTGTAGCACCGCCGGTTGGTCTGCCTGGTCTCCAGCGTGGCCAGGCCCTGCGGCCAGCTCCGCTCGTGGGCGTTCTGGATCAGCTCGCCCACCAGGGGGGCGGGGCAGCCGCTGTCCAGCAGGGAGCGCTCGATGGCGGCCTGCAGGCCCGCGTCCGGGGTGGAGATCATCCCGCCCCAGCGGGTCACCCTGGCCGGCTGCAGGGAGCTCACCCACCGCAGGACCTCCTCGCCGGCCTCGCCCCGGGGCTCCCCCGGGCCCCCCTGCAGGTCGGGGGCCAGGTGCGCCTTCAGCTGCTGGATGGCTCGCTTCTGCTCGGCCAGCTGGAGCGCGTGGTCGGCCGAGGCCCTCTCCAGCTCGGCCAGGCGCGCCTGCTGCTGCTGCACCAGGGCGCGCAGGTGCGGGAGGCAGTGGCGGGCCGGCAGCTCCTCCCGGGGCCCCGCCAGGCCGTCGCCCTGCTGGCCCTGCCGCCGCCGCGGGTTGTGCTCACAGTCGCTGAGGTGAGACGTGAGGCCGTCCAGCCGGACCACGGCGCTGCAGCCGAAGGCGGCGTGGTCGCAGGCGATCCGCAGCTTGGACAGCATGTTCTGCATGATCCGCGGCACCGGGCCCAGGTGGGCCACCGTCACGGCGCTGCGGTCCACGGGGCACGTCTGCTGCTGCGAGAACCACTGCGCGATGCAGGCGCCGCAGAAGGCGTGCTCGCAGCGCGGGGCCTGCACCGGCTCCTCCAGGACGCCGCCGCAGATCGGGCAGAGCAGGTCCTCGTCCACGTCCCCCTGGAAGCGGGTGACATCGTACCCCATGTCTCATCGCTGACACGCAGGCCCTTCCCAGTGTTGCGGGGGGGACGGGGGGAGGCAGGTTCCCTGGTCACAAGGCTCCAGCCTCCCCCGAATGCCTCCACTCAGTGCTACTCAGGCGACGCTTCCAGGAACCGATCTTGTTGGCGATTCTCCACGGGAAGTCTTCCTTCCCGGCCTGCAGCGCCATCGCCAAGGGGATGCGTGTGATGTCACAATCAGGAGGCCTCCCCTGGAGGCGGTCTGGGCCCTCGGTACCCCAGCCCCGCGGGAGCAGAGGCCTTAGCTCTGATGCTCATCGCAGATATCTATCAATACTTGTTTTTTCATTACTCCTTCTCATTTCACTTGGAATTGCCCTAGAATGCAAACTTCTCAACGAGATTTGTGTGTGTCTAAGTGTTAGTCCTCACGCCAGGATATTTTTTTTCAATTGATTTTTTTTTTTTTTTTTTTTTTTGAGAGAGAGAGGAAGGGAGAGAGAGAGAGAGAAACATTGGTATGAGAGATACACATCAATTGGTTCCCTCCTGCATGGGCCCATCAACAGGGGCTGAGGATGTGCCCTTGCCTGGGAATCAAACCCTCAACCCTAGGCACACTCGTAGGTTGTGAGATTAGCTTTGAACTCAGAATACATAAGTGTTACGAAGCGAGTCCCCAAGAGATGGACCACCGGAGCCAATTTGATTAAGCATGCTAGAATTTATTACAGATTTGAATCTGGACTCAAACCATGGCTGATGCAGCAGCCGGTAAACACCCAGGTGAGAGCCCCGATGGAGGGGCAGTCCCTCCAGAGCGCTCACAGAAAAACACAAACACACACCTACCGCGGCCAGTCTGGCTCTCCGGAATGGGGGTCCCTCATGGTCCTGGCTGGGGATTCCAGTCATGATCCCCAAGGACCACCAGGGAGCCAAGTCCGATGCAATAAACAAAAGAGCCATCTCCATGCTAGCATGGGCTGTCCCACTCACGCCGGCAGCATGGCGGAAGAGAGCAAATTTCGCCCAGTCCAGGGGTTTTACTCAGGTCGTTGATGTCACTGCCTCGGCTAACCCTGATTGGCCCCTCAGGACTAAATTCTAAAGACTGGGGACAGCCTGCAGGGTTGGTTCCCAGTCACACCCTGCTTTGACATTGGAATGTGGCCCTATCTTGCCCATAATACAAAAGCAGAACTAAAGGTTATCTACAGTTTCTACCCCTGAAGCTACTGAGTCAGTGGGAGTCAATCTCCTGCAACTACCCTATTGTTCAAGCAAGTAATCGAAGGTCGAAGTCAGATAGCAAGGTTAAAATTCAAACAGCAGTTTTTACCCACATATGAGTGCTACCATATTTCAATAAGTAGAGCTAGGGGAGGAGAAAAGTGTTTTTCTTTAGCTACCGCAAAATCATCTAGCCTGACCCTCTCCACACTCCTCTTGGTGGCTGGTTGTATCTTTTAAGTTAATCAGCTCAGTGCAAGTTGAAGCTACTTCCTCCTCCTTCGATGGTCTCTAACCGTGTTCCAGCCCCATGCTTTGCTTTGTATCATTGCTATTTACTGATGCACCCCATGCAGTATGGTATACACTTGGACAGCAAAGTCTATATAGTTCAGCATTACATTCCCCCAAATATCTAGCACAGTGCCTGCCACTGAGTAAGCACATGTAATTGTTCGCTTAACTAAATGTCTTATTTTGTATTGCCATCGGTACTTTTTGGACCAACTTATCTGACCCTTTGAAATTCCTAAATCACAAATGTATATTTATTTTAGCCTCGTTGAAATTATATTCATGCATGCACTGATTTTTTTTTTAAGTAATCTGGTTTTGGACAAGTTTGCCTAATCTTTCTGAGCCTCAGTGTATAGCATGTAGGAATCAAAATTCTTATAGACAGTACTTAATGGTGCGGGAATTTTAAAAAGAACATACCTCAACTATTATAGGACCAAACATATGGTAGTATTTAATAAATTGATGGTCATCCATCAAGAAATTAGGAATTTTCAAGGTTAATTGAAAACCATGTTATTTGATTATGTAAAAAAAAAAAATGTGCTAGTCATTTGTTAGCAGCATTTGTTCTTAGTTATTTTCAGTAAGGAAACCATGATATTATAAGATCCTTTCTTTAATCAGCTTTCTTGAGGTGATCCTATATAATAAGAGGTCAGGGACCATAAGTGTAACAACCGGAACAACTGAGCTGCACTGACTACCTCTTGGTCCCTCCTCTCCCCCAACCCCCACCCACGCCACAGGTGAACAGGGAACCACAGGGAAGCAGGTGGGTGGTGGCAGGGCAGGACTGAATTTCAATACGATTATGCCGTTCAAGAGGAATAGGAAGAAGATATATTGCAAGTGCTTCCCTAACTTTTAGAACACAGAACAAAATCGTGTACCTTTGAGAATGCAACTGATTATGATTTCGTTTAAAAGGCGCAATTTTATGATTGCTTGATGTTCCAGGTAATTATTACAGAATAAACGTTAACATTTAGTAACATACCTATAGGAAACAGTGCAAAAATCGTAAGTGCCCAGCTTGATCTTTCTAGGTTATTTAACGTGGACCTAAACCAGCTCTTTTGACCAATACAGTAAAAAAAGGCAACATCCTAAATAAAGCTTTTTGGTTTAGATTGAATAATTACACTCTTGAAAGAAAGAAAGATAAGAGAATAATGTTCTGCAAAGGCTCCCACAGAATTGTGGGGGTAAGTTGTGAGAAAATGGATGGGACATTAAAATTCATGAGGAAATGTGAATAACAAAGAGATTATTATGCAGGATCAGGTTTTGCTGGTTCCCCCCTCTCCTCCCCACCCCCATCATTACAGGAAGACAAAGTCATTATCCTGATCTGCCATGGGTTTTCCTTTTGTTATTAGGTACTAGGACCGGCTTATGAAATGCTTCGTGTTTCCCAGGGGAATGGTCACAGTGGTGAGGAACGGTGGTCGGGGTGCACGTGGCTACCTGTGGTCCTAATTTCTTTAGATCAGAGAAAAGGAACAAATTAAAAAGCAAGACGTAACAGCCAGGGGTGCATTTTCTTGTGACTACAAGAACTGAGTCTATCCTTCCCCTAACTGCCCATGCTTCATGTTTTACATCTGCCAATTCCGAAATAAACAAAAGTGATAGTTGCATTTGGAGCCTCCCTGGTCAATACAATGGGGACTACAGTTAATTTCAAAAGAAGTAAAACATATGACTTTAGAAAGGCATTAACACCAGCAGAAAAAGCAACCTGAAAATAATAATCTTATAAAAATTCGCAAAGTGGGGTCAAACATGTACCACCCTATATGATTCCAATATACAAAGAAAATACTGGATTGATTTTCTCTTGATTTGTTTAAACTATTTCAAGTTTTTTTAATTTCAGTGGATATGTTTTTATTTTAAAATGTTTAATTTTATTATTTAAGAAAATCTGCTTTCATAATGCTTTCTTGTTTCATTGTGGTTTCTATTATCTTTTTAATTTAAGTTGCACTAATGGTCCCTTTTAAATTTCCTTGTTATTTTTAGTTCTTGGGGTCCAGTTTTCCTGTTTGTTGGGGTTCCTGATCTTTCTCATGATGACTTATTTCCTCATTTTGTTGTTGTGAGCTCATCTTCAATAGGGGATGTCTATTCTATGGAAACTAGGAGCCCAGTGCACAAATTTGTGCCCTTTGAAAAGAACTATGGTGGACACAGGGGCAGGTGGCGGCCCATGCTCTGCACCCCTGCCTGGCCGGCCTCTCCAGCTGCAGCCCCAGGTCCCCTGTCTGCCTGCATCTCCGCTCCCACCACTTCTGCTCCCCCATGCTGGTGGTGCTGGCCCCACTTTGCACCCATTGGGGCCTGCACCAACAGCAGGTGTGAGAGGCAGCTGCTGCCCTGATTGCACCTCAGGAACAGAGGGAGGTGGAGAAGCCCGCAGGGGAGATTGGGGCCAGCAGCCACCACTCACACCCACTGACAGCGCCAAGCAATCAGGGCCAGCGCTGGTTGCTAGCAGCAGATTTGAGCAGCAGCTCCGGCACCGGCAGCAGGTCCGTGTACCCGGTGGGATCACAGTGCATAGAAGCAAAGAATTTTCAGTAACTACCAGAGGCTCACCCTGATGACAGTGACTGGTGCCTTGTCATGGTCTGGCGGGCTTACTAACCTGCTCCACCATCCCACCACAGTCGATGCCCACCATCTTCTGCGCTCTGCCCCCTGCTGCCAACATCCACCATGTTCCACATGTGCTCCCTGATGGTTCGGTTGTTCTGCTGTTTGGTCTATTTGCATATTAAGGTTATATATAGCTTTCTTGCACCCTGACAGTGTCCTCACAAGAGACTGCCTCCACAGAACATCTTTGTGGCCTTGGATTAGGCAAAAGCACAATCCAAAGGAAAAACACTGATGATTTGGACTTCATCAAAATTAAGGATTTCTTCTCTTTGAAAGACAAGATTAAGAAAATTAAAAGACAAGCTATAGACGAGGCAAAAATATTAGCAAAGCATGTATCTGATAAAGGACTTTAATCCAGAATGTATAAGGAACTCTCAAAACTCAATAATACTAGTAAGAAAATAAAAACCCTTCTCTCCCACGCACAAGTTGTCAAAAGATTTGAAAGGATACTTCACCAAAGATATGTGGACGGCAAATAAATTCCTAAAATGATGTTTAATGCCAGTGTCACAGGTGTATGCAAATTAAAATCGTAATTACATACCACCACTTCCTAATGAAAAGGGTTAGACAAACAGACAACACTGAGTTTTAGCAAGGATGTGGAGCCACTGAAGTTCTCCTACATGGCTGGTCAAAGTGCAACATGGTCCAGTCTCTTTGGAAAAACAGTTTGGCAGTTTCTTATAAATATACATTTATCAGCCAAAACCGGTTTGGTTCAGTGGTAGAGCGTCGGTCTGCGGACTGAAAGGTCCCGAGTTCGATTCCGGTCAAGGGCATGTACCTTGGTTGCGGGCACATCCCCGGTAGGGGGTGTGCAAAAGGCAGCTGGTCGATGTTTCTCTCTCATCGATGTTTCTAGCTCTCTATCTCTTTCCCTTCCTCTCTGTAAAATATCAATAAAATATATTTTTTAAAAATATATATATACATTTATCAGTCAAGCCAGCAATTCTATTTCTGGAGAAATGAAAAATGTATAAGGTAATCACCTAAAACCCTGTGTGTGAATATTTATAGTGACTTTATGCATAATCACCAAAAACTCGAAACAATATAAATGTCTTTCAGCTAAGGAATTGATAAATTGTGGTACATTCATATAATGGGATATTATTCAGTAATAAAAAGGGTTAAATAATTGATATTACAACTATATTAAAATATAGATGAATCTCAAAGAAACCATGCTGAATGAAGAAAACCAGACCAAAAAGGAGTATATATTATATTATTCCACTCATAAGACATTTCAGAAGAGGTCAAACTGTACAGACAGAAAACAGCTCAGTGGTCGTCAGAGCCTGGAAGTGAAGGAAGGGCTTCCCCACAAGGCAGCATAAGGGACTTTGTGAGAGTGATAAAACTTTTATATCTTTATAATAGTAGTGATTATAAAGCACATACACTTGTCAAAATTCATAAAATTCGCTGAAACTAGTTTGGCCTGCAGACTAAAAGGTCCCAGGTTCGATTCCCATCAAGGGCATGTACCTTGGTTGCGGGAACATACCCAGTGGGGGTGTGTGCAGGAGGCAGCTGATCGATGATTCTCTCTCATCGATGTTTCTAGCTCTCTATCCCTCTCTCTTCCTCTCTGTAAGAAATCAATAAAATATATATATTTTTAAAAATTCATAAAACTCACAACTATCTACTAAAATTACTATTTGGAAGTTACTCCTCAGTAAACCTAAACACCCCTCACTAAACTTATAAACAATGCTTATCACAGATTTTAATAATAAAAATATAAGCTCCTTTTTCTCTAAAGAAAACATTGTATCATAACAGAAATCAATAAGGACAATAAAATAATTATTAAAATAAAAATATTTTAATATAAAATCTACGTGCCTTAAAATAAGTAGTACTAAATATGCACATTATTTAAGTGAGTGTGATAGTAATTTTTAATCTTTTCCACTTTCTGATTTTATGAGATAAATGTCAATGAAAGTGTGTGTGTGTGTGTGTGTGTGTGTGTTTTCCCCCAGAGAAGCAATACTTTCCTTTTTCTTTCAGATAATGTTGGTGCTGAAGTTTCTCAAATAAACCCAGCTTGCCACCTTCAGGCAAGTGAGAGATTTACAGAGTCCATTACTAGAGATAGAACATTAATTTTGCAGATTTCCCCATAATCCATACTTAACAGTATCTTCATCTCATGCTTTTGTGAGATTTCCTGACATTTTTCTTGGAATTTTCCCAACTTTCAAAACCCAGTTCAAATGCCACTAACTCCAAAAAGATTTCTCTGATCCCTCTAGTTTTTCCTCCTCTAAATATTTTATATCTTCTTGAATATATGTAATGCCATGGAAGGTAGGGATCATTTCTTACATTTTTATGTCCCTGTATGGCTATTAAAAGGGGTACATATAAAAGTTGTTCATTCTAATACTGAAAGAATACATGAATGAATAAATGAATCATTAAATGAATGAATGAATGAATGAATGAATGGAAAGTTAGAGTAATTGTTGAACCTTCATTTGAAAGAGGCCTTATTTTACTAATAGAATGATGGGAATCCCACACATTTATTCAAGATCATATGCATATCTGTAAAGCATGAATTTTCATTAACAATGGTAGAATTGTCTCAATCTTTACTAAACTCTCTCAAATTATGTCATTGATGAATGGAATGACTGCTTGGTGACTTACTGGTCCTGTGATACTAACTGAAATCTTTATATCGGGACTCCTGAAATACAATATTTAAAAAAAGGAAAAGAAACAGATTACTTCGACTCAAGATCATTTTGAAAGACTGATTATAAAGCAGTAGCAGCAGAGTGGAATTCATATTTCTCACACTTCTTTAAATATAATTTTTCAGGTTTTTTTACTACCCAAAGAAAATAGGAAATAGATTCAATGATGGTTGTTGGGAACACTGACCTTTCTTCACATATTAAACCCACATATTTTCTATTTTCACTCTATATTTGTTTCTTGTTTGCCTTTGTAATTTGTAAGCTCACTGGGCAGGAAATAATTGTTGATCTTTCAGTTTGAAATAGCCTGAAGCACATGGTTATTAATGGTAACATGTCTTAATTGCCCTTGCTTTTAAAATCAATGTTAAATAACATTTACGGTTTTTATGTTTACTTTTCTTCATTCTTGGTTTACAGGTTTTATTCTGGATACTCTTATTAGGTGGTTCTCAAACAAGAATAGTTATTCTGTAATAGTTTATTAACAAACATTGGAATAAAATACTACGTTAGGCATCAAGATTTAGATAACTCCATTATATTAAAGTGGTTATTAGTGTGGTTTGAATCCTGGTCCTGTTACCTTTTTGTTTTGTTGTCTTGGACATGTATGTGAGCCTTGATTTTCGCATGTGGAAATTAGGAATAACAACAACCTACCTTTCTGGTTCTTTGTAAGGAATAAATGAAAAATATACATTCAATGTTTGACTACTAAGTGCTCAATAAATGGTAACTATCATTGGTCTGATATGACTCTGCTCATTTTCTTAAAAAAGTAACTTTACTATGTCACTGATATAGCTGCCCTGTATGGAAATACTTTGCCCTGAACTTACCAATACCTAGCTTGTACTACAAATGTATTTTTGCTTTTTTTTTTTTTTTTTTTTTTTTTTTTTTTTTTTTTTTTTTTTTTTTTTTTTTTTTCTGAATTGTAATACTTTGAATTTCTAACATACTCCAGAAGGTTGGGAGATTCCCTGAACAGATGAGAGAAATATGGGATGTTCTCTTATTACCAGATTTATTCCTGGCACATAAGTTTTGAATATATATATAGTTGTGAGAAAGCTGTACTTCATTTGGTATCATTCAAAATTTGATGAACTTGCATTTTAGGAGATGTTAATTAGTCCCTTTAAAAAATGCTCACCTGCCGAGATCGGTTTGCCTCAATGGGTAGAGTGTCGGCTTGGGGACTCAAGGGTCCCGGGTTCGATTCCGGTCAAGGGCATGTACCTTGGTTGCGGGCATATCCCCAGTAGGGGGTGTGCAAGAGGCAGCTGATCGGTGACTCTCTCTCATTGATGTTTCTAACTCTATCTCTCTCCCTTCCTCTCTGTACAAAATCAATAAAATATATATATTTTTAAAAAGAATAAGATTTAAAAATGGAAAACAAAGGACGCTACCTGACAATTTGTTTTATTGATTTCGAAGAGGGAAAGAAACGATGAGAAAAATCGAGGTAAGCTTTCATTCACAGATGCCCCTGAGGGGAGATCAAACCCACACTTAGGTTTGTGCCGATTGGGAATCAAACCCACAAACTTCTGATTGCCAGGTTACTATGCCCAACCAGCTAATCCATCGGAGGTCATAGTACCCTTAATTAAACTTCTTATACATACATCTTAAAATACTTAAAAACTTGGACACAAAACCATAGCATTATGTACTTCGTTTAACAAGAACTTAACAGTTAACAGCTTCGCATATCATAGCACTCGATATTTCTACCCTCATGAAAATCCACTTCCACCTCTATCCCCCATTCATATCCACACCCCCACACCCCCAATCCTCACACTGTTGTCCATGTTCATGAGTTCTCGCTTTCTTTTTTGTTCAATCCCTACATGCCCCCACTACCCCGAGGCTTTTTTATTAAAATTTTTTCAATTACAAATGACATTCAATAGTATATTGTTTTGGGTGCATTTTCCCTTTTGGGCGTATGCCCACGTCTTTCCTGTCATCTTCAGTGTGTACCTAAGCACTAACCACTGAAAAACACCACCCAGGACAGCTTTTGAAACCTGGTCAGAGAGGGGAATAGTGGCCTATAGTTAATGGTGAAGTCACAACTTTTGAGTTGTGTTGGTTAATCCTTTAAAATATATATATTGATTTTAGAGAGGACGGGAGATAGGGAGAAAGATAAACATCAATGATGAGAGGGAATCCTTGATTGGCTGCCTCCTGCATGCTTCGCACTGGATCCAGCCCACAACCCGGGTACATTCCCTGACTGGTTATGGGCACCATGACCTCCTGGTTCATAGGTCGAGGCTCAATCTCTGAGCCACCCAGCTGGTCAATTCTAACAGCAGAAACAGTTGACAAGCCCAAGAAACAATCTTCTTGTGTTGATTTTGTGATATTGACACTATTTACAAAATTGGAAAGTTCTGTAACAGAAAAGATCTCCCCCAAGTACCTTTGCTGAAAAGTAGTCCTATCTCTGTCTAACTCTTCAGATCTTGTGGTTCCCAAGGAATCCACACCGAATTGAGAATGAGCTTAATTCCTCTGGATACCATTCATTCACCCATCCAGCATATCCAACAAATACGGTCTACTCACTTTGAATGGCTTTGCTGGGCTCTGTGTGTACTATGGTTTTCTGAAATCCCTCGTGTCTACTTGGAGGAAAGGGAAGAAAAGAAACGTATGAATACACTCAAATGCATTTTATGAAGGAAATGAACAGCGTAGGGGACCTAAGTTTTGGACACAACGAAACTAGAAGCTCTGCTTATTTGGGGACGAGCTAGGCGCGAATGGATGGCGGAGCGCCAAAAGCTAGGAAGGCCCCGGCAAAGGGCCGCATCGCGGCAGGGGCGTGAGGGCAGAGGGCGCCGTGGCCGCCGGGCCTGGGAAGAGGGTGTCGCCGGCTCCTCTGCGCACACGAGGACAGGAGGAGGCCCAGCAGCCCTTGGGGATGGATGGCTTCGCGCCCCAGGAGCAGCGCACTCCGGCAGGCGGCGGGGACCACGCGGCGCGGGGGAGGAGCTTCCCCGCCTCTCGCGAGACGTCATCGAGGTGCTCCCAGCCGTACGCGCGGAAGTAAACACCGCTACGTCATCAGCCTGCGCCTCCGCCTTCCCCTCCGGTCTCCCTCCTCGGTGGACGCGCTCCGCTCCGCTCGGGGCCAGGTCTATGTCCCGGCTTCCCACCGTCGCGGGCAGGGCGCCAAGGCGGCAAGAGGAGGGAGAGCGGCCCAGAGACCCCCAGGAAGAGCGGCCTTCGGCTGTCTCCGGCGCGGACAGAGGTGCGGTTCCCGGGACGCTGCCCTGGCCAGCGAGTGTTACGGCTGGGGGCTTGTGGGGGGCATAAAAGTCTGCCTGGGGCCGGCAGGGAGGAGTGGGCGGGAGGCCGCAGCCTGCTGCTCGCCCTCCAAGCCGGAAGCGAACTTTGCGTCCAATGGGTGCACTTTGGTCTGGAGGGGGGCGGTCCCAGACCCAAGTTGAGGGGAAACCCTCTGGGGGCCAAAAAAGTGAACCCCGAAGCCCAGGCACATAAAGCCTTTGTTCTCTACCCACCTAAACCCCCCCCCCCCCCCTCCGCTTTCGTCGGGTCGCCAGCCTGCCTTTGGGTACTGTATAGAGAGGGAGCCGGTTTCTAGGAGCCAGTTTCCATGGTTACCCACCACTTGGCCTTCTGGGATATGTCACTCTGAGCAGGGACCTAACTTGAACTGTGAATCAGGAGCAGACACAGGTGGCTCTTAATTCAGCTGACAGTTTTCTGCTGGGTTCCAGTTTTTGAGCTATTGTTTAATAAAGTTGGGTTTTGTACAGGTATACTTGCGTATACGTTGCCTGGTACTAGGCTAACTTTGAGTCACGCATTAGTAAATGCTCAACTTGTTAGATTTAGCTAAAAAGTTGTTCTGGGCTTGTAAACCTTCACTTACAAATTAGACTTACGTGATTTAATTGATAAGTCATTGGTTAATGTTTTCCAACCCGCAAATTTTATTGTTTTTTTTCTCTCTCTTCAGTTCTGGAAAATTGAGTCAAAGATATCTTTACGGGCCTTTTAATCGCACAGTTGTTTTTTTTCTCTCATTACAGAAGACAAAGGATGCACATCACAGGAGGGAGGAACTACTCCAACTTTTCCTATTCAAACACAAAGAAAAAAGCTTATTCAAGCTGTGAGGGACAATTCCTTCCTTATTGTTACTGGAAATACAGGAAGTGGTAAAACAACCCAACTTCCAAAATATCTATATGAAGCAGGTAATGATATTCTGGGATAATTTGGGGAGTTTTAAAAAAATACCCTCTTGTCCAGGCAGATTTGGTTCAGTGGATAGAGCATTGGCTTGCAAACAAGGGTCCTGGGCTTGATTTCAGTCAAGGGCGTATGCCCAGGTTGTGGGCTCTATCCCCAGTGGGTGGCATGCAGGAAGCAGCCGATCAGTGATTCTTTCTCATCATCGATGCTTCTATCTTTTCTCCTCCCTTCCTCTCTGAAATCAATGAAAATATATTTTTAAAAATCCTCTACACCACAAATGCCCACTATTGGTTTTACAGACCCAATTCTTCTCTTGTTCTGTCCCTACATCTTCCCTGCTTCTCTATGGTTTTATTTTAGATTCAGAGATTAGTTGAGATGGCAAATTTTCCATTTTTAATTACTATAATAATCCTAAGTAAAATTATAGGTATATACTGATTCTCTGCTATAGAACAAGGTAGTCTTACAGTAGACTATTAACCATTGGGTATTGAAATCATTTTCGGGGAGAGGGATATATTAATACCTGTTGCTGACATTAGTATTTCTTAGTATTTCTTGGTTCTTTCTCCAGAGCATTATCAGGTATTTACTTCCTGACTGTGCTAACACCAGCTAACAAATTACCCTTAAAGTGCCTTTCACTTTATTATGCTAAAACTTTCTAGCATAAGGTTAATAAAGAATAAAATTATATTGGATATTATTCATATAAACAAATAAAAACTTCTTAGTTTATATATTAACTTACTCTTATGCATCAAACCTAAGATGCCTTTGATTAAGACATACCACTATTTTTTTACTAATAACTATTAATGGAGGAAAACTCATCAATTGTCAGATGCATTTCCTTTTCAAAAGTATTTTTTAAAAATATATATTTTATTGATTTTTTTTTAGAGAGGAAGGGAGAGGGGGAGAGAGAGAGAAACATCAATGATGAGAGAGAATCACTGATTGGTTGCCTTTTGCACACCTCCTACTGGGGATCAAGCCCTCAACCCAGGCATGTGCCCTTGGCGGGAATCAAATCTGGGACCCCTCGGTCCGCAGACTGAGGCTCTACCCACTGAGCCAATCTGGAGAGGGCGTACTCTTATTTTTAATAAATTTCTGTGACACAAATGTAATACTATAGCATGTTATTACTTTGCAGAGTTTTAAAAATACTTGAATAGTTTATATTGATTGACCAGAAACAATTTAGCTCTAATAAGAAGCAACTGTTGACATTATTGCGTTTTTTACTCTGGTTTTGATAGGGTTTTCACAACATGGAATGATCGGTGTGACTCAACCACGAAAAGTAGCTGCCATATCAGTTGCTCAGAGGGTTGCTGAAGAAATGAAATGCACTTTGGGATCCAAAGTAGGATACCAAGTTCGTTTTGATGACTGCAGCTCTAAGGTACAAAAGTTTTGTTGGTATTTGTTTAAGTACTGTACATTTATGGACAGAGTGAAGAAAATTATGAAAAATTTTAACTTTGAAATTCTACTTATATTTTTAGTGAAACAAAGTCTCAGATTAGAATTAATTTTTGTTGCCCATTGTTAATGCTTTGGAATGTCTGTTTAATCCATTTTCTCCGTTCTCAGTTGGTTTCTAAGTGACAGTTATGTTTCTTCTTTCTCAGTATATTTTTATTGATTTCAGAGAGGAAGGGAGAGAGAGATAGAAACATCAGTGATGAGAGAGAATCATTGATCAGCTGCTTTCTGCACGTTTCCCTATTGGGGACTGAACCCACAAAACTGGCATGTGCCCTTGACCAGAATCAAACCTGGGACCCTTCAGTCGGCAGGCTGACACTCTTATCCCCTGAGACTAACCTGCTAGGGCATGTTTCTTTTTCTTACAAATTCTCTTATTTTATTTTTTAGCTGCAAGGATCCTACATGTAACTTAAGATTGTATTCTTTAAAAATGTTTTATTTTAAAATATATATAACATTAAAATTTACCATTTTAAACATTTTTAGGTGTGCCATTCACTGGCATTAAGTACTTTCACAATGTGTTACCATCATCATTTTTCAAAACTTAGTCATTATCCCAGTAGAAACTCTGTATCTGTTAATAGTAACCCTTATCCCCTCTTTTTCCCCCCGCCCCTGGTAACTACTATTTTACTTTCTGTTTCTATGCATTTGCCTATCTCAAAGATGGAATCATGCAATATTTTGTTCTTTGTGTTTGGCTTATTTCATTTGACCTAATGTTTTTAAGGTTCATCCATGTTGTATGCTTGTATTCTTGAAGTCAATGAAAAACTGACAACTAAATTAACAAAGTCAGAAAGTATTTTGTACTGAGCATCTTCTATATTCATGGCACTAACAAGTTTAAAATTGTTTTCTTTTTAATAGTTAATAGTTACAATTTACATTCTCTTGGGATTCCTTAATTTCATACCAGATACAAAATAAATCCTGACTTACATATGGTTCCTAATGGGAATGGTCATCAGTTATGGCACAGAGTGACTCTAAAATACTGTCTTTGCCTTCCTAGTAGCCACTGCTACTGTCTTTCTTTTCCCTTCCATTGTTTTATGTATATCACTACTGTTAATTCCTCACTGTGCTTAAAACTTTGTGTTTTAAACATTAGGAAACAGCAATCAAATATATGACTGATGGATGTTTATTGAAACATATTCTGGGAGATCCAAATCTTACCAAATTCAGTGTCATTATTTTGGATGAAGCCCATGAGAGAACTCTAACTACAGTGAGTATTTTAATATATTGGTTATCTGTTAGGCAGTTTACTTTGGGGTAGCTTTTTACTGTATAGAGGATTACCTCATATTTTAATCGATTGAAATAGGGATTCTTTGGTTAGGAAAACAAAATGTTTAAAAAGAGGTTGTTATGTATACTTGTGACTTATTAGAAATTTACTTTTCTTTCAGGACATCTTGTTTGGTTTATTGAAGAAGCTATTTCATGAGAAATCTCCTAGCAGGAAGGAGCATTTAAAGGTCGTAGTGATGTCAGCAACTATGGAATTAGCCAAGCTCTCTGCATTCTTTGGAAATTGTCCAATATTTGATATACCTGGAAGGCTTTACCCAGTCAGAGAAAAATTCTGCAATTTGATCGGCCCACGAGACAAAGAAAATACTGCATATATTCAAGCGGTATTACTTTACATCTTTTTTATATCTGTGATTCTAGTTGATTGTATAGTTTTATATTATATTTATTCCCCATTATCATTTTTAAAAATATACTTTTTTTTTTTATTGACTTCAGAGAGGAAGGGAGAGAGATAGAAATGTCATTGATGAGAGAGAATCATTAATCAGCTGCCTTCTGCACACCCCACACTGAGGATGGAGCCTGCAACCTGGGCATGTGCCCTGACCAGGAACTGAACCATGATTTCCTGGTTCATAGGACAGTGCTTAACCACTGAGCCATGCTGGCTAGGCTATTATTATTTTTTATTGATTTTTAGAGAGAGGGAAATCAAGAGAGAGAGCAACATAGATGTGAGAGGGAAACACCTGCCTCCTGACTGGGAATTGACCCCCCCAATCTTTTGGTGCATGGGACAATGCTCCAACCAACCGAGCCACCTGGCCAGGCAGTTCCCTATTATTCTGATAGGCTCTCCTAAGACTTTTGAGAACCAAATTTAACTTTTCTGTGGAACAAGGGAAGGTTGGGGTAGAGGGCTGTATTTCCACTGGTATGTTATGCTTGTGTTTCTTGTTTTAGATTGTGAAAGTGACCATGGATATCCATTTGAATGAAATGGCTGGCGACATCTTGGTTTTTCTGACTGGTGAGCATTTAGTATCAGGTTTAAGATTACTGTTTATGAGAGGGCACATGGCACCACCATAAAGTGCTATCTTTGCTGAGAAATCTGGGTACTGCTCATGTTACTGCAGCTTTTTATGACAGTTTAAATAGTTATAGGTTTTATATCTTCTGTAAGACAATTCTACACTGCCATTAAAAATGCCAGTCTCAATAGTGAACATGTAAAACACACTGATTTTTTAGTAGAAAGATATTAAATGGTAAGGTATTAATATTTTTAGTAGTCTATCTCATATAGAAGTATTACCACACTAAACAGTCCTGAATCTGAATGATTGATTTCATTATTTCAAAAGATATCCTACCAGCTCCTCTCTCCTTTGAGTGGCTGGGTGATACTATTTTTTTTTATTTTTTTTTTTTACAGAGAGGAAGGGAGAGAGATAGAGAGCCAGAAACGTCGATGAGAGAGAAACATCGACCAGTTGCCTCTTGCACACCCCCTACCGGGGATATGCCCGCAACCAAGGTACATGCCCCTGACCAGAATCGAACCCAGGACCTTTCAGTCCGCAGATCGACGCTCTACCACTGAGCCAAACCGGTTTCGGCTGGGTGATACTATTTGATAGCAGCATATAAGGTGTGGAATCCATGTCTCATAGATGAGCCTTTTTTGTAGGACAAAAATCCCAGATTAATGTGATTCTTCAAGTAATAGCACCCTAATTAACGGAAATGAGTCATTTCATCACTCTCCTCCTACTTTGCCTTGTACTGATGTTAGAACTGAGACATTGCAATAATCACTTTGCTATTTTAAGATCACTTAAGTATTTTAAAACACACCTAAATGCAGTATCTCCTGGACTAGAATCCTTTATGTTAATGATTAACCTTACTGAATCTTCCTCAAGAAACATGTTAAATAACATGAAAGGCTAGAAGATTATAAACATTTTTATTTCTTTAGAAACTTAAATTCCTTGGAAACTGGTGTTTCTTCTATTTTCTATTTTACTGTTGAGATTTGGTACAATTTACGTGTTCATCTCCTTTAGATCAAATGAGAAATTTAAAGTAACTGCTATACAAAACTGATTTTAATTTAGAAGGCCTTTTTTTCACTCTTAAATTAATTTTGCTATTTAGTTGCTGATGGTGTTTTCTCCCCTCGTTTCAGGTCAATTTGAAATAGAAAAAAGTTGTGAATTACTTTTTCAGATGGCAGAGTCTGTTGATTATGATTATGATGTTCAAGATACCACTCTAGATGGCTTATTAATATTGCCATGCTATGGATCTATGACAACAGGTAATTCCTCAGTAGCATAGAACATTTGACTGATTTTTAAAAAAACATTTTTTTGAAAAATCACATATGTGCATAATAGTACACACGCAAATCCTAAATGTTTATTTTTAGGTCAATGAATTTCACAAATGTGCTCACCTTTGTAACTTAACACCCAGAACATGAAACAGATCATTAAGAGAACCAGCATCCCTTCAGAGAAGTGATTTTTTCTTGAAGTGTTTTCCATGGGTCTTCCACATGCCCCTAAGCATTATTAAGAGTGACCTACGTGCCAAAGCCTGTTTGGCTCAGTGGTAGAGCATCGGTCTGCGGACTGAAGGGTCCCAGGTTCGATTCCAATCAAGGGCATGTGCGTTGGTTGCGGGCACATCCCCGGTAGGAGGTGTGCAAGAGGCAACTGATCGCTGTTTCTCTCTCATCGACGTTTCTAGCTCTCTATCTCTCTCCCTTCCTTTCTGTAAAAAGTCAATAAAATATATTTATAAAAGAAAAAAGAGTGACCTACGTCTTCTTCCACTGGAACAAAAATATTGTTGGTAATTTTTCAAAATAAGGACTATCATTTCTTGATAGTAGCACCATAAGTCAAGCCTTATTCGCCACGGCCACAGAGCTTCTACAAATCTTATCCATATATATCTGAGACTAAACACAGTGGGAGTTCTTAGTTTTTATTTTTACTTTTTTTTAGAGAGAGAGAAACATTGATTTGTTGTTCCACTTATTCATTCCTTCATTGGTTGATTCTTGTAAGTGCCGTGACCAGGGATCAAACCAGCAACCTTGGTGAGAATGCTCTAACTAACTGAGCTACCTGGCCAGGGCAACACTGGATTTTTTAAGTATTCACATATTAACCTACTTTTCAAGAATGGTGTAAATTCAAAGAGCATATGCAAACTCTTATTCTGATATTTGTTCATGATAAATGTTGTTAAATGAGGTTTAGAGTGTTTGTGTAAAACTATCTTATCAGAGATTTGATTTATAAAACTAAAGAGAAATTAATTTTAACTGGAGTTTGATTTGGATTAGCATTACTAGTAACATAGTGTAAAAAACATTTACTTTTTTTTAATGTGTATTTTTGTTTTTATTTAGTAGGCGATTATTCTCATATTAATAAAAAAAGTTCAGGAATATATGTGTTGGTAAATAACCATAGACCACATGCTATTATGGATATTTCTTTTGTGATGATATTAGGCCCTTGCTCTCGATATTGAAATCTACTTACAGATTTTTACATCTAAAAAGGGAATTCTTAAGGTCATTATTATATATTTAAGATTCTTATTGTTTTCTGGGGATTTGATCTAATGACTTAAAATTTGCTTTGAAATTTATAAGTTAATTAAAAACTATGGTTGCTTTATTATTAACCATTAACTATATTTTTTCATATAAAGTAAATATTCTTTTTTAAAAATATATTTTTATTGATTTCAGGGAGAGTAAGGGAGAGGGAGAGAGATCAAAACATCAATGATGAAAGAGAATCATTGATTGGCTGCCTCCTGCACACCCCCTTCTGGGGATCGAGCTCGAAACCTGGGCATGTGCCCTTGACTGGAATCGAACCCAGGACCCTTCAGTCCGCAGGCTGACGCTCTATTCACTGAGCCAAACCAGCTAGGGCTATGTATTGATTTTTTTATAGAGAGAGGAAGGGAAAGAGCGAGAGAAAACATTGATTTGTTGTTCCACTTATTTACACATTCATTGGTTGATTCTTGTATGTGCCCTGACTAGGGATCAAACCTGTAGCTGTGGCATATTGGGAGGATGTTCTTACTAACTAAGCTGCTCTGCCAGGGCACTATTTTTAAAAAATATATTTAATTTTACTTGAATTTACTTGAAGAAATTATTAAACTTCAAGTTATTCTTTACCACATGAGGTAATATTTTATAAAAGTTTGCTTTAAAGTTTAGCAAGATGAAAAGTACTAAGTTGAAGTTAATATCTTCTTTTAGAATGTATTTGATTGATCTGTTTACTTATCTTACGAGTACTTAAATACTTTTACTCTTCTATATCCTCTTCTAATTTTTATTATTATATTATTCAGATGTATTTAGTGTTTACCATCAATTTTTTTAAACTGTGTTGTCTGTTTTTTTTCATTCCTACATTACTTTTGGTTAACTTTAGATTGGCTTACTTTTGTTAATTTTTTTGAGTGTTATTTTTTTTAATAATTATTTTTATTTATTTCAGGGAGGAAGGGAGAAGGAGAGGTATAGAAACATCAGTGATGAGAGAGAATCATTAATTGGCTGCCTTCTGCATACCCCACACTGGGGATTGAGCCCACAACCTGAGCATGTGCTCTGACTGGGAATTGAACTGTGACCTCCTGGTTCATAGTTCAGTGCTCAACCACTGAGCCATGCCAGCTGGGCTTGAATACTATTTTTTGTTGCTCTTTTATGTTTGAGAATGTCCAGCTTTTGCCTTTATACTTGAAATACGTCTTGGCTGGGTTTTATGTTCTTGGATCATACTTTTCCTTAGAAATTGATAGACGTTATTCAGTTGTCTACTGGCATTGAATGTTGCTATGGAGGTGTCTGAGGCCAGCCTGGTTTACAAATTACTTCTTTGTAAGTGATTTGCTTTTTCTGTCTGATTGCCTGAAAATTTTAATTTTTATTCTTAAAGGCCAAATCCATCTTTCTGTTTAATTTACACCCAGGCCTCGTAAGGAACTCAAAAATACTCTCTTGTCAACTCTCAAGTCTGTTGCATTTGTATATCTCTTTAGACTAGATTTCTCTCCTTGACTTTCATTAGTGATTTTCCTATGGCAAGTTTATTTTTCCTCTTTGCAAGAGACTAGCCTAATCAAACTGAGCGTCTCTCAGACCTTCTTCCACATTCATAGGAGAATCAGATTGGCCCAACTTGGGGGAGATGTTTATCCTTGGTGCCATAAATCAGAGCAAGTACCATTCGATAAGCATTGCTGCTGGGGCCCATCCTTCAGAATGTGTGGGTGTTACTTTTTAGAGAGGTAGTCATGAATTGGATAGACACTGAAAAACTAAAAACTAATTAGCTAATCAATCTTTAAGGCAGAGAGAGGTCCTTAATCAGGTCCTTAATCAATAGCCCTTGGATGGGAATTGTTTGAATTTTGTGTGTGTGTACATAAGTGTCTTTTAATAGAGAAGAGGTACACAGTTTTAAAATATTCTTAAAGGGAGCTATGACCTACATAAAGGTGTCTGGTGTAGGGTTTATTTTAGCAATAATAAACTGAGTTCATGGATCTAGAAACATTAACAGTGAAAGGTGAGGGAAAATAGTTTTGCTATTGTATTTTGAATTCAAGATAATTAAAGAGGTAAAGAATATAACTTTTAATGCAAAGAAGTTACTTTTTCAAAACTTGAATTTGACAAATGCATGTTATAAGTTAGTATTTTCCTTTTACATATGTTTTAGATCAACAGAGGAGAATATTTTTACCACCACCACCTGGAATTAGAAAATGTGTCATATCCACTAATATTTCTGCAACATCTTTGACAATAGATGGAATCAGGTACAACTTTAAAAAAATGCTTTTAAAGCCAAGAAAGCCACTTAGCTAATCATAAAACGTTGAGTTTGCTTCTCTGTGCCCTCCACTAAGTCCCTTCTCACCTGCTTAACTTGTAGTCACCTATCATTTTTGTAATTACTGATTGCAATAAATAGGGAAATAGAGTAGAAAGTGCATATAATATTTCTGTTCACTCTTTTTTTTCCTTAAGAATATTTTTTATTGATTTCAGGGAGGAAGGGAGAGGGAGAGAGAAATAGAAGCATCAATGATGAGAGAGAATCATCAGCTGCCTCATGCACATCGAGCCCACTTGTGCCCCTGGTACATGGGTCGATGCTAACCACTAAAACACAGCAGCGGGGCTCAAATTTGTATAACATAAAATTAACATTTAACACTGAACAATTAAGTAGTATTTAGTACATTTACAACATTGTGCAACTATCAACTATATAGTTTTTAAAAATATATATTTTATTATATATTTTTGAAAATTATATTATTGATTTCAGAGAGGAAGAGAGAGATAGAAACATCAATGACGAGAGAATCATTGATCAGCTGATCAATGATGAAAGAGAATCATTGATTGGTTGCCTGCTGCATGCCTCTCACTGGGATCGAGCCCAAACCGGGGCATGTGCCCTTGACTGGAATTGAACCCAGGACTTTTCATGCTGCAGGCCAACTCTCTATTCACTAAGGCAAACCAGCTAGGGCAACTCTGTCTAGTTTTATCACCACAAAATAACCCCGTACCCTTTAAGAAGTAACTCAGAATATGGTATATATGCCATTATATGTATATTAGAGGCCCGGTGCACAGATTCATGCACTAGTGGGGTCCCTCAGCTTGGCCTGAACCCATTCACAATCCGGGATTCCTTGGGAGATGTTGGATTGCCGGTTTTGGCCAAATCCCCTCAGGCCAGGCTGAGGGTCCCCAGCGGTGCATGGATCTGCATATAAAATCTTTGGTTAATTTCTTCCGTCCTCCCCCCTTCCCTCGGAGATTCATCAGCCTGTTCCATGTTTCCATTCCTGTGCTGTTGAGTGTCTGCTCCCTGGTGGTAAGTGCACATCATAACTACCAGTCCAACGGTCGCTTAGATATATATATATATATAAAGTATATACACCATAATTTATGCATCTATTCATCTCTTAATGGGCCATGGACAGTTAGGTTGTTTCTACCTTTTGGTTCTTACAAATAGTGCTGCTGTGAACATCTATAAGTATGTTTTGAGTCGCGTTTTCAGTTCTTTGGGGTGCTTACTTAGAATGGATTTCTGGGTCATATGGTAATTCTGTGATTAACATTTTGAGGAACCGTCAAACCTTTTTCCACATTACATTGGCTGAACCATTTTACATTTCCAGCAGGAAAGTTTGAAGCTTCGATTTCTTGACTTCCAAGTTTTACAGTTAACATTAAAGTCAACATGTAGTTGTTAGTTTGGTGGAAAAGGAGAAGCCATAGTGGTTGAAAATTAACAACTCTTTCCTTATTTTCTAGAAACTTAACTTGTTTTCATTTTTCTTAGCTATGTGGTAGATGGTGGCTTTGTGAAGCAGTTAAATCACAATCCCAGATTAGGATTGGACATCCTGGAGGTGGTTCCAATTTCAAAGTAAGTCACTATGTCATGCCTTTTTGTTCAGAGAACAGTGGATTAGATAATTTCTAGTTGGTTCAGGGTGGGAGGTGAATTACTTAGGAAACACAGAACATTTTTTTTAAAATCTTTATTGTTGAAAGTATTACGTGTCCCCCATCTTTCCTTCATTGCCTCCTTGTAGCCTGCCCCTACCCCCCACAGCTGGCCTTCACCACCCTGTTGTCTATGTCCATACGCATACAAGTTCTTTGATTGATCTCTTCCCACCCACCCACCTCCACTTTCCCTCTGAGAATTGAGTCTGTTCCCTACTTCTATATCTCTGGATCTATTTTGTTCATCAGTTTATTTTGTTCATTAGATTCCACATGAGTAAGATCATGTGATAGTTGTCTTTCACTGACTGGCTTATTTTGCTTAGCATAATACTCTTCAGGTTCCTCCATGCTGAACATCTTGGGGACTTTTGTTTTTCTTTCTCTGAAGGAGTGAGGCATTACAGCGAAGTGGTCGAGCTGGTAGGACTGCCTCAGGAAAGTGCTTTCGGATCTATAGCAAAGATTTTTGGAACCAGTGTATGCCCGACCATGTGATCCCTGAGATTAAGAGAACTAGTTTGACATCTGTAGTTCTGACCTTAAAGTGCCTTGCCATACATGATGTTATAAGGTATGTAGACAACTTTTTAAAAAAGGAAAATGTGTTGGAGTGGAGCCTGGTTATTTCTCAAATTCTTTTGAAGTAGTTGGCTCAGATAGCCCTATATCTCAAGGTTCAAATAAACCCATACAAAAGATTTCTTTATGAAGCTTTACTAGAATTTGACCCCTTGCTCATATTTGTTTTAAAATTTATTTTAATTGATTTCTCATAGGACGGGAGAGGGAGCAAGAGATAGAAACATCAATGATGAGAGAGAATCATTGATTGGCTGCCTTCTGCACACAACCTACTGGGGATCGAACGTGCAACCCAGGCATGTGCTCTGACTGGAACCAAACCATAACCTCCTGGCATAGAGCTCAACATTCAACCACTGAGCCATGCCAGGCAGGTCCTTGCTCATATTTTAACCTTGGTTTAATGGTGTGCCTCATGCTGATATTTAGGTCATTTAGTGACCACTGTTTATCTGTTATGAAATGTATATAATGATCATAATCCCAGATAAAATGGTAGGGGTTTTTGTAGCATCTTTGGTAGAGCCAGCTTTATGTACTATGCATTTTGAGGAATGGTAATAATTTTTGCTTTCCCTAAGCTTAAGTTACATTGGAGAAACGAGATTGGTATAATCAAGTAACTATTGCTCCTGTTTAAAAGTATGTACACACACACACATATGTATATTCATGCTTGGTTATATGCCACTATTATCCTTTGTGAATATTATTAATTCTCCTATGTTTATTAATGGTATTGTGTTTATATAAGAGAATGTCCTTACTTTCAGGGGATGCATGCTGAGTATTTTGGGGATGAATAAGCATTGTATTTGCAACTTAAGAGTTTAGGAGAAATTAAGTACTAATTGGTACATACAGATACATAAAGCAAATATGGTAAAATTAATTGAATATTCTTGCCTTTTTATCAAAAGCCATTTTGAAGTACTATTAAATATTTTGTAATTTTTGGCCACTTTCAATGAATCTTTCTCCATTGTTTTATAAGTTTGTAATACAATTATGGACTACAGAACAGAATAGAGTTGACATTGGGCTGCGAAGAATGGGGCAGGATTCAGATAAGTAAAGAGGAATGGCAAGAGTGTTCCAGCTAAGGAGATCAAAAAGGTGCTTCTGGAATTCACAAAAGACTATGATTCAGAAAAACTTATTTCCTCTTTTGCTGAATGCTGATCATGATCATAGAATGCCTTAAAAAAGAAAAAGAGAAAGAGTATTTGCAAAATACTAGGAGAGCTAAGACCTTTTAAAGGAAGTTTCAAGTCTGTATAAAATCTTATTGTGTTCAAGAAAGGGGATCTCATTTTATATTTCATGTAAACACACAGGTTTCCTTATTTGGATCCACCTAATGAGAGACTTATTTTGGAAGCCCTGAAACAGCTTTATCAGTGTGACGCTATTGACAGGTAAAAAGACAACCAAACAAAACCCCTCCCCCAAACCCGACCACAACGTCTGTTAATTTTTTTTTAAAATAGGGATCTTAATACTTTATTATAGCTATGAAATAATTGGTTTGAATTGAGTGGATTCTTTTACCTGAAATTAGAAATTGTCCTCAACCTTTTTTCACAATTCTGACATTACAAATTATACCATAAAACGAATTTTGTTCAGCATTGGTACTTAATTTAACAAGTAGTTTCTGAATACTATTTCAGTGCCAGGCATTATGCTGGATATATCACAATGATGAGAGAACCAGAGTCCTTGTTCTCATGATTGTGTGATGGGGAAGGATTTGGTAATTATCACTCTTTCATTACTTCCATTACTTCACGGACATCCTCTGTGCTTCCACAGCATTTTGTGTCTTTTATTACTCTACTTTATTCTGCATCATTGTTCAGGATTTTTAATGTACTGGCCCTTGACAGCAAGGAGTTTATTATCTTGATGTTTTTCTTACCTATGACTACAGTGTATCATGTTTCTTAAATTGAATTGAATGTATGGGGGTGATTGAAAGTAATCTAAATTACAGTATATCTGATTTATTCTGAATGATGAGCATTTCATTTGTACTCTCCAAGGTAGAAAGACATAAGAACTTTTTTTTCTATTAAGGAATGGCTATGTGACCAGATTGGGTTTGTCTATGGTAGAATTTCCTCTCCCTCCACACCTGACATGTGCTGTAATAAAGGCTGCTTCTCTGGACTGTGAAGATCTACTACTTCCAATAGCAGCAATGTTGTCTGTGGAAAATATCTTCATTAGACCTGGTAAGTTTATTGAAGAGGTTTACTTTTATTTTATTTTTATCTTTATTTTATTTTATTTTTTTATTTTATTGATTTTGTACAGAGAGGAAGAGAGAGAGATAGAGAGTTAGAAACATCAATGAGAGAGAGTCATCGATCAGCTGCCTCTTGCACACCCCCTACCGGGGATGTGCCCGCAACCAAGGTACGTGCCCTTGACCAGAATCGAACCTGGGACCCTTCAGTCCCCAAGCCTACGCTCTATCCATTGAGCCAAACTGGTTTTGGTGAAGACGTTTACTTTTAATTAATAATTTTAACCCTGGCCGAGTAGCTCAGTTGGTTAGAGAGTTGTTCCAATACACCAAAGTTTGATCCCTAGTCAAGGCACATATAAGAATTGACCAATTAATGCATAAATAAGTGAAACAACAAATCAATGCCCCTCCCTTCCTCCTTCCCCTCCCTCCTTCCTTTGTTCCCCTTCCTTCTCTTCTCCTTTCTCTCTAAAAATAAAAGAAAAATTAATAGACTTTATTTTTTAGAACAGTTTTAGGTTTATAGAAAATTTTAAGGAAAATACAGATATACACACAGTTTCTCCTGTTATTAACATCTTTCATTATGCTGGTGCATTTGTTACAATTGATGAGCTAATATTGATATATTATTATTAATTAAAGGGATCACTGTGCTGTGTGGTCTGTGTGTTTTGGCAAATCTGTAATGACACCCACTCACCATTACAGTATTATACAGAATAGTTTCATTGCCCTAGGCCACATGTGTCAAACACAAGGCCCGCGGGCCAAATCCGTCCCGCCAGGCCTTGCAATGTGGCCCGCACCGCGCTGTCATCACTGCACTCCGATGCGTTTCCATCACAATGACAGTTTATGACTGTTCAGTAAACTATTCGGCCCACGATTTAGGCTGGATTTTAGATTTTGGCCCCTTCTCTGATTGAGTTCGACACTCCTACCCTAGGCATTTCCTGTGCTTCACCTATTCATCCCTACATTCCTTCCCCAAAGCCCTTACAACCATGAATGTTTTTACTGTCCTTAACTTAGCTTCTTTAACTTAGCAATGTACATGTAAGGTTTCTCCATGTCTTTTTGTGACATGAGAGCTCTTTTTTTTTTTTTTTTTTTTTTTTTTGCTGAATATTATTCCATTGCATGGAATTTGTTTTATCCATTCACCTATTGCATGGCATCGTGGGTGCTTTCAATTATGAGTAAAACTGCTATAAACATCTATGGGCAGGTTTTTGTGTAGACATAGGTTTCCAATTCATTGCTGAATAGTATAAGAATATGTTTAGATGGTAAGCAACTGCCAAACTGTTTTCCAGACCTGCTAAAGGTCTGCACTAGTTTGCATTCCTACCAGCAGTGAATCTGAGAATTCCTGTTGTTCCACAACTTCACCAGTATTTGATGTTACGGGTATTTTGGATTTTGATCTTCTTAATGATCTTAATAGGTGTATAGTGGTAAAACTGTTGTTTTAATTTGTTGCCCCCTGGTGGCATGATGTTAACCATCTTTGTACGTAAATGCTTACTAGAGGCCCAGTGCACGAATTCGTGCATGGGTGGAATTCCTCTGAGTGGCCTGCAGGGATCGGGCTGAAACCCGTAGTCCAATGTAGCCTGCAACTCCTACTTGCCGCGGGTTCGCGCCCAATCAGTCCTGATCAGGAGAGGCTCACACCTCTGCAGCAGCGCTCACCAGCCATGAGCCCTGCGTCTGGCGCCCTCCCAAAGGGAGTGTCCTGTGGGATAGGGCTGAAACCGGCTCTCCAGCATCCCCCAAGGGGTCCCGGATTGAAAGAGGGCGCAGGCCAGGCTGAGGGACCCCACCAGTGCATGATTGAGCTGGGGAGAGATTGTGGGAGGGCTCCAGGGTATGTCACCCATGTCGCTCTCAGTCCCAATCAGCCAGACCCCAGCAGCAAGCTAACCTACTGGTCAGAGCATCTGCCTCCTGGTAGTCAGTGCACATCATAGCGACTTATCGACCATTTGGCTGCCCCCTGGTGGTCAGTGCACATCATAATAAGCAGTTGAGCAGCCTTAGCATATCAGTAGCATATTATGCTTTGATTGGTTGTTCTGCCATTCGGTCTATTTGCATATTACCCTTTATTATATAGGATTATTATATAGGATTTGCCATGTATAGTCTTCTTTGGTGTCTGTTCTGGTCTTTTTACATTGGGTTGGTTGTTCTCTTATTGTTGAGGCTTTAAAAAATGTTTATTGATTTTAGAGAGAGAAAGAAGAGAGAGAGAAAGAAAACATTGATTTGTTGTTTCACTTATTTGTGTGTTCATTGGTTGATTCTTGTATGTGCCCTGACCAGGGATCAAACACACAACCTTGTTGTATCAGGCTGACACTCTAACCAACTGAGCTAGCTGGCCAGGGTGCCTCTTATTGTTGAGTTTTATATTTGTATATTTTGGGTAACCGTACTTTATCAAGTATGTTTTTTGCAAATATGTCTCCCAGTCTGTGGCTTGTCATCTTGTTTTCTTGATATTATCTTTTTCAGAGCGGACTTTTTTTTTTTTTTTTAATATTAATGATATTCAGCTGACCAATTATTTCTTACATGGGTCATGCCTTTTGTGTTTTATCTAAAAAGTCATCACCATACCTAAGGTCATCTAGATTTTCTCCTATATTATCTTCTGGGTGTTGGATGTCCATTTGTCCCAGCTCCATTTCTTCAAAAGACTGTCTTTTGTCCCTTGAAATGCTTCTGCTCCTTTGCTAAAGATCATTTTATTGTATGTGTGTGGGTCAGTTTCTGACTTTACTCTTTCCCTGTTTTGGCTGTTATGAGTCTTTTCCCTTTGTATGTAAACTTTAAAATAAGGTTGTTAATATTCACAAAATAACTTGTTAGGACTTTAATTGGGATGTATTGAATCTATAGATCAAATTGGAAAAAGCTGACATTTTGACAGTATTGTCTCCCTAAATAGGTAAATGGAATATTTCTCCATTTATTTAGATCTCCAGTATTTCAGAGCATTTATTTATTTATTTTTATTATTATTTAAAATTTTACATTGCATTTTATAGGGGTGACTTTGGTTAATAAAAATTATATGTTTCAAATGTACAGTTCTATAATACATCATCTCTTTATTGTGTGTTTACTGTCACTGAAAAAAATGCTTTTATTGATTTTAGAGAGAGAGGAAGGGAGACGGAGAGAGATAGAGATAGAAACATCAATGACAGAGGAACATTGATTGGCTACCTCCTGAACTCCCCCTTCTGGGGAATGTGTCTGCAACCCAGGCGTGTGCTCTGACCGGAATTGAACCAAAGACTTCTTAGTGTATGAGTCACGCTCAACCACTGAGCCACATTGGCTGGGCTCACTGACCATTTTTTGATTGCCATATACCTAGCCCTGTCGGACATGAAACTGAGGACAAACAGTTTTTTCATTTTGTTATCCTTTAACTTAGTTGTTTAAAATAGGGAGTATGTGATGTTCCTGGTGGGGAGAGTTAATTTCCTTTCACTGGTAGGGGAAGATAGTATGGTGAACCTTTGCCCTGTTGTATAGTACATTAGTAATATATTAACCTTTTTTTCCCAAGCATCAAAAGAAAAGGTAGTTTAGCCCTTGTACCCTCAGAGGATTGTTTTGAGGTTTTCGTGTCTTTAAACTTCTGCTTGTTTCTTTTCTTGGTGTGTCATGGGATACAGCTTAGTATGTCCCATTTCAGCTTTGCTTTCTCCCGGTGGGGTCACAGATTTCATCTGTAAAACCAGGAGCTGGGTTAAAGTGATCCAGTTCTAATAGTCTTGTAAGGCCAGAAAAAGGAAATGTTTTTCCTTGTTGGAATATCCTATAATAAAAGCCTAATATGCAATTTGTCCCCTCTACTGGGAGTTTGACTGCTCACTATGATGTGTGCTGACCACCAGGGGGCGACAAGGAATATGGCAGATTTCAGCCACACGCTTCAACCTCTTGCTGGCTACCTGGGGGCGGGGGTGACAGGGATAGAGGTGCGGTGTGTCCCGAGCTCACTCTCCCCCTGCTAACCTCCCAGGGGATAACAGGACTCGCACACTGTGTAAGCCCCACGCTCAGGTGCTGGGTGCCTGTGAGGAGCCTGCCCTGCACCCATGCAGTGAGCCGGGCCACAGCTGCTGGGACCACAGGGCAGGCTGGGCTTCCTGTGAGTTCGCACAGTAGCTGGTCTGCGAGGCCGGCGCGGGGAGAGAGTGCTGCCTGCAGGGAGGCCCACACTGCACCCTGGCCTAATTTAATTTATTACATACCTGGCTAGTTTCTTAGATCTAACATTGAATAAAGATTTTAAACATCAAAATGATATTGTCAACATTTTTAGTAACCTTTCTTTTGCTATATTACAGTGTCTGCTGTTATAATATATTGTTTTAGAAATCAGACAATGGAGAGAGTGGCTTTTAGGTGGTGAATAGGTTTTAGGTGGTAAACAACTTAGCCTTAAAATAGAACAAATTTAAAATAACATTGTCTTGTAAGGCCAGAAAAAAGGACTTAAAGGATTTGGTTGTAAAGTTTTTATTTTTAGTGATATTTTTAGAAATAAAGGGTTCTTTATTTGTATGTGATACATATAGCCTTATTTCCCCACTTCATCTCTGAGGACTGATGTTGAAACCCTTTCTGTGTAATAGTTTTGTTTTATGATTTATAGCTATATAGAAACATATTGCATTGTCTTCCCAAAGGGGATTTTGCTGATATAGTCTTGTTTTGCTGCTTTAGCTTTTTATTTATAATTTCTGCCTCAATAGCATCCACCTATTTGCATGAGATAAAACTGATAACAGAATTCTGAGGGGGGGAAAATAAAGAAAATGACAAGTCTACTGGTTAAGTAATTAAAGATGGATAGTCAAACTTTTATGTAGTAGAAGGATAAACTTGCTGAGACTGTACAAACTGTGTGATACAGACTCTAACTTTACTATATCTTCTCTCCTGTTGTCTCTAGCTGCTTTCTTCAGTTGCTACCTACGTAACAGGTGTAAGTTACATAAAGCCTGGGATGGAAGACTTTATTTACATACATACATATATGTATATATATATATATTGTTGTTGTTGTTGTTAATCCTAACCTGAGGATATTTTTCCATTGATTTTTAGAGAGAGTGGAAAAGAGGAGGGATGTAGGAGATAGAGATAGGAAGAGAGAGAGAGAGAATGAGAGAGAGGAGAGAGATACATCAATTGGTTGCCTCCTGCATGTGCCTTGACAGGTGATCCAACTTGAGACCTTTTGGTATGTAGGCCAGTGCACTAACCACTGAGAACACTGGCCAGGGCAGGTTGGAAGACTTTACATCTTCCTGAGCATTTTCTTTAGTCAGTTTGCTTTCCTCCTAATACCAGGAGCTGCTGCTATGGAGATTCATAGTGTAGTCTATACAAGTGCTGCTTCCTAGAACCAGGCAACATGGTGTCTCTAGTAAATGCAGTGTGATGGGTGTGCTGAAGGAATAGGAATTGTGGTGTGATGCGGTTCAATAAAGGAAGAATCCTTGGGAAATTTGGAAAATTGAACCCTGAAGGAAAATTAGCCTGGGTGAAGTGTTATGTGGGGAACTTGGGCAGTGAGAGCACATCAATCCTGAGTACAATCCAGTCAGTCAATAACAGATAAGTCTCAAAAGAAGCAAGACACATAAAGTATATTTATACAAAGTTTAAAAACAGGCCAAACCCTTCTTTGGGGTTAGAAGTCAGGACCTTTGTGGAGGGGTACAGGTTGTTATTAGAAAAAGGACAAAAAGTGGGCTTATGGTGTGTTGGTGATTCTGTGTGTTGGCCAAGGTATTGCGTACATAGTATGGCATGTTTGTGAACATTCATTGAGCTGTACACTTATGACCTATGTAGTTTCTGAATACCTGTCATACCTCAATATGGAGTTTAAAAAGAAGGGTAAAAAGTTTGTAGTAGTTTAGTTCTGCATATTTGCCCTTTCTGTTCAATTGTCCATAATTGTGAATTGAATAAGGACTGGTTAAATTTTGTTATGTTTCTTATCTTCCTGGGGAATACAAGGTGGCTATTTTTGAGAATGAGTAATTCCATCTGTACTGACATGAAGCTGTTATTAAATAAAGGAAGGTTCTGAACATGTATCCTATTTATGTTAAAATAAATCACTAAATGCATATCTTTGTATATGCATAGAAAATATCTTGAAGGACACACATTAAATAATTAACAGTGGTTAGCCTTGAGGATTGATTTGTGGGTAATGTGACAAAATAGAGAACATTGAACTTTTATGTAATTTTTCTTTTACTGTGAGCATGGGTTACTCATGATAAAAGTGAATTAACCCTTTGCACTCCGCTGTCCCCTCTCAGGGGACATTGGAATTCTAGCATATCACTCGGATGTCTCCTCTCAGGGGAGACATTGCAGTTTATTAGTGATTACGGGGAATTGAGTTAATTCAACACACGTGTCCGCCGCAAAGTAGCGTCGAGTAGCTGGTAGCCAATGTCCAGAACGGTTCGGAGTGCAAAGGGTTAAAAAATTAATACGTGTATTAAATACTATTTTAGAGGCAAATGGATTGGGAGAAGTAATGTGGCTATATCTGATAACATCTCTGAGGTGTGGTTAAAAGAGAAAAAGGAGTTGTGGGAGTAGTTAGAGCCCCTTTAAAGGTAATATAGTTCTACCTTACTCCACCCCAGAGGGTGAAACGGATTTTAATGAGCTTGAATAAACAAAGTGAATGTGGACACTTTATATAAAGTAGAACTAAATTGCTTCTGCAACTGTCTTTTAGTTGATCCTGAGTACCAGAAGGAAGCAGAACAGAGACATCGAGAATTGGCAGCTAAAGCTGGAGGATTTAATGACTTTGCAACTTTAGCGGTTATTTTTGAGCAGTGCAAATCAAGGTATGTGAGTTGTCTATACTGGAAATTGTCAGTTTGAAATTTAGCTCCAATATGTATTACTATGTGACTTTAGACAGTTAAGGTTTGGTTAGGATGATATTGACCTTCAGGTATTTTTGTGAATATTAGTGAGATTCTTCTGTCAGGTGACTGTTACTTAATAAGCATTTATTATACAACTAGAGGCCCATGCACTTGGGGGAATCCCTCAGCCCAGCCTACCCCCTCTCACTGTCTGGGACCCCTCAGAGGATGTCCACCTGCTGGCTTAGCATCCCTCTGACAGCCAGCCCAGGAGCCCTTGGGAGCGGGCCTCAGCCATTAGGTTGGACATCCTTAGTGCTGTTGCAGAGGCAGGAGAGGCTTGCGCCACCACCGCTGCACTGGCCAGCCATGAGCTGGCTTCTGGCTGATGGAGCTCCCCCTGTGGAAGCACACTGACCACCAGGAGGCAGCTCCTGTATTGAGTATCTCCCCCTGATCAGTGCGCGTCATAGCAACCAGTCATTCTGCCGTTAGGGTCAATTTGCATATTACCCTTTTATTATATAGGATTAGTGTTTTTCTTTCTTTCCCTGAACCTTTCCTGAAAATGACCTTATAGAATTTTGGTTCTTTATAGGTACCTTAGATGAGAAAATGATTGGCTGTTTGTTAAAGCATATGTGTATAAAATATCCATTTACAAATAATTTTTAATTCACACAGAGGTACCCACGTTTAAATTTTTCCCCCCAAATTCCTTAAAATGCTTTTTCTTTCCCTTTTTTCTTTTTTTTTTTTTTTTTTTTTTTTTTAAGGAAAGATGGTGGGAGAGAGGGGGAGAGAGATAGAAACATTGATGAGAGAGGAACATCATCGATTGGCTGCCTCCTGCACAGCCCACACTGGGGATTGAGCCTACAACCAAGGTACATGCCCTTGACCAGAATTGAACCCAGGACCCTTCAGTCCACAGGCCGATGCTCTATCCACTGAGCCAAACTGGCTAGGGCTAAAGTGCTTTTACAGTTATTGGATAGATCTCGTAAAAGAGCTGACAGTTGCTTTTCAGTTTATAGTTTTGTAATACAAATGAGGATGCTAGACTGTCTTTCACTTATAGAATATATTTTTAAGATACCATTATTTTTGTTTTTCAGTGGAGCTCCAGCTTCCTGGTGCCAAAAACATTGGATTCATTGGAGGTGCCTATTTTCTGCATTTCGTGTTGAGGCTCAACTTCGAGACCTAGTCAGGAAGCTTAAACAGGTGATTGCTTTTGTCCTGAGTAGCATTTGGACAAGACCCTCGGAGTTACCAAAACCATATAAGTTATGAGATGTTTTAGTCTGGCTTGTAATAACCCACCATTCCTAACCCTGTGTGAGCACCAAGCATTGTAACCTCTTCTCCTTAGGAGGTCCTTTACCTGCCCTTGTCAGTTTCCTCACATTCCTGTGCTAATCAGTAATCAGCTGAACTCAGATCTCTGGAGTTCTCTATAAAGGGCTCTTCTCTCCTGAGCTCTGCCGTGAACTCCAGTCATTTTGGTCTTCCTGTATTCTCAGCTCTGTCTCTTTAACTAAGGGAGTTTCAGAATTCCACTTGGGTTTTTCCTTCTCTGCACCTTGATCCAGAATCTCTTTCAAGGTGAACTATGCTGGGGTGGTTGTTGGGTTTACTTCATTTATTTCCTTTTATTTTATTTTTAATGTTTTATTGGGTTGACATTGGTTATTAAAATTATATCTTGTTGTATTGCTCCCTTTATCATTATGAACATAGCCTTCGTTTTAAAGTCTATTTTGTCACATATTAAGTATTGCTATTCCAGTTTGTTTTTTCATTTTCATTCACAAGAAATACCTTTTACCATCCTTTTACTCTGTGTATATTTTGTTCTGAGGTGGGTCTCTTGTAGACAGCATATATGTAGGTCTTGTTTTCTTATTCATTCAGCTACCCTATGTCCTTTGATTGGAGCATTTAAGCCATTTACATTTAATTAAAGTGATTATTGGTAGGTATGTATTTATTGCCATTTTATTCTTTAACATTTTTTTTTTAATCTTCACCCAGGGATATGTGTGTGTGTGTGTGTGTGTGTGTGTGTGTGTGTGTGTGTGTGTGTTGTTTTAATTGATTTTTAGAGAGAGAAACCTTAATGTGAGAGAGAACCATCAATCAGTTGCCTCCTGTATATACCCCAACCTGGGATCAAACTCAAAACCTAAGTATGTGTTCTGACTGGGAATAAAATTTGCAACCTTGTGGCGTATGGGACAATGCTCCAACCAACCAAGCCACCCAACCAGAGCCTTTTAACATTTCTTCTAATACTGGTTTGGTGGTAGGGAATTCTTTTAGCTTTGGTTTGTTTGTTGGTTTGCTTTTTGGTCTGGGAAGCTCTTTGTCCTTCAATTTTAAATGATAGCCTTGTTGGGAAAAATTCATCACTTTGAATATTTCATGTCAGTCCCTTCTGGCCTGAAATGTTTCTGTTGAGAAATTAACTGGCAGTCTTATGGGAGCTCCCTTGTAGGTAACTGACTTTCTCTTGCTGCTTTTAAGATTCTCTCTTTGTCTTTAACCTTTGCCATTTTAATTATGATGTGTCTTGGTATGGGCCTATTTGGGTTCATCTTTTTTGGGACTCTTCCTTTATTTCTTGGAGATCATTATTCCTTATCACTTGATATATGTACAGTATTTTGAAAGTCCATATTTAGGTTGTTTCAAGCAGAAGGGTAATCCGGTCCCTCTTACTCTATATTGGCCAGAAAAATAATTTTTAGAAATGTGGATTTTTCAAAATAAAAGAATATTTTATTTATTTATTTTTTAAATATATTTTATTGATTTTTTACAGAGAGGAAGGGAGAGAGATAGAGAGTTAGAAACATCGATGAGAGAAAAACATTGACCAGCTGCCTCTTGCACACCCCCTACTGGGGATGTGCCCGCAACCAATCTACATGCCCTTGTCTGGAATCTAACCTGGGACCTTTCAGTCCACAGACCGACGCTCTACCACTGAGCCAAACCGGCTTCGGCAAAATATCAATAAAAGAATATTTTAAATTATTCTGTGAGATTTACTATTGTGTGTGTGTGTGTGTGTGTGTGTATATATATATATACATACATACATACATACATATATATATTCTGTATTCTTTCTATAGCAAAGTGATTTTCCAAAAGAGACCTATGAAGGCCCTAAACATGAAGTACTACGAAGATGTCTTTGTGCAGGCTATTTCAAAAATGTAGCTCGAAGGTAAGCAATATGAGCTTGGGAGATGGGGAAAGAAGTGCTAGAATATTTTACTAGATACAATATTGAACAATTTACTATTAAAGGTTGATGATTTGATTTGAGCTCTGTGATTATGATCAGCTATTACAGTGACCCTTTTCATAATTGTGTCTTGTGCAGGGAAAGCTGCAGTAGGGGAGTCTGAAGGACAGCTGTCCAGCATGGGTATCAGGGCCTTAGCAGAGAGACCAGGCTTTTTTTTGCAGAGGGGTTGCTCTGTGTGCGGTGTGAAAGCCAAAGTTTGAGGATGACGCCCCTAAGGGTAGGTTGGTGTGGGGTGCCAGGGCTTGAGCAGGATGGAGAAAGCACTCACATGGGAATTTTTCAGTATCAGAGTGAGGAGGGCGTTTTTGTAAGGAAAAGATAACAGTGTCGGTGATGGCAGATTCATTTTACACAGAGAAATTGAGCACGTTAAATAGATTAATAATGGTGAAAGGAGTTGGAAGTACTGAAAGCGAGAAAATAAGAATGAGCTCTGAGGTGTTGGGATGGAACTTCAAGGTATCATTGTGAACTTATGTTTTTAAAATAGCTGGATGGATAGATAGGGAAATAAAAATGAATGTTACTGTGAATATATATAAAACATGTATTTGTATGTATGTAAATATTTATATACATATATGCCCTATCTCTGAGATGGACTGGGAGCAATGGCACCATAATGTCCAGATCTTGACTTGGAAAAACTATCTGCTACATGAAGGAATCACGCCTTTATGGAGAAATAGGGCCGGGAAAGTACAAGATAAGCCTGAAACTTCTTATTTTGCCAGGGAGCAAAGTAGTGATGAGCGAAGGCTGAGACCATGTCAGAAGTACATAGGAGCCAGCTTGAATAGGCTCCAACTGATCACATATGGGACATTTTAAGCATCAAAATAAATGAAAGTAATGGGTGATATAACGCACTGAATAAAATGTGAAGTCATGAGTCTATAGTCATATAAATTAGTAAATTAATAAATTAAAAGTTTAATGATAAATGGAATTATTTGCAGCATCTGTCTATTCAATTCTTTTTAATTACAAAGGAAAAAGTAACTTTTCACTGGAAAAGCCTGGCAGATACTACCTAAGTCAAACAATCAAAGTGGACATTATTATTTATGAAACTATTCAAAATCATGTTTTTCCTGATAGGATAGAATGAAAACATAGTGTCACTTTTGTGATATTCCTGCCAAAGATGTATAACCTGAATGTAATCATCTGAAACAGACAAACTCACATTGATTATAACTAGCCTATCATCTTTAAAGGTGCCAGGACTATAAAGGTCAGAGAAAGGCTGGGGAAGTATTCCAGAATGAAGGAGACTAATGGGACATTAAAAGTAAAAGCAATACATGATTTCTGAACTAGATCCTTTTGCTATAAATGATATTATTAGAACATTTGATAAAACTTCAATGGGGGCTGAGGATTAAATGTTAGGAATATATTAGTGGTAATTCCCTGATTTTGTTGGATGTATTATGATTATGTAAAAGAATGTCCTTGGCTATAGGGAATGTAAACTCAGGTATTTGGGAGTGATGGGGCATAAAGTTGGCAACTAATTCTCAAAATGATTCAAGTAAAAAATATTTTTGTACTGTATAAATACACTATTATACAGATATATAAACTATTAAAATGCTGTCTGATCTGGGTTATAATAGGAATACATATAATGTAGTATAGGAAATCAATTGTAATGACAATTGACCTAGGCTGTTATATAGAAAAGTTTTTGGAATAACATTTATGTAAGAAAGTGTAGAAGAGGATAAGAATTTGAAATTAAGAACATGAATTAGAAAAATTCATGAGATGTTCTAATTATCAGAATTTAGAAAACTGAAAATAATTTATACCTTTAAAAAGATATAAATAACACTGTGTTTAAGTCAGAAGACCTATGATTGGGACTTGCTTTTATCATACATTAGCTCTGTGACCATTAGAAGGCTAACTAACTTTTTTGAAATCTCACCTTAAAGTGGCTCTCAAAATTCAGGTTGTTTTGAGCCTTTATTATGAAAGTATTTTGGAAAATCTAAAGCACAAATACAATATTATTGCCCGGCCTGTTTGGCTCAGTGATTGAGGATCGACCTATGAACCAGGGGGGTAACAGTTTGATACCCTGTTGGCACATGCGTATGTTTCAGGCTAGATCCCCAGGAGGGGGAAGAGGGCAGTTAGAGGTGATCAGGCTGGCAGCTAATCAAAGATTCTCATCACTGATGTCTCTGTCTCTCACTCCCTCTCCCATCCCCTCTGAAATAAATAAAAAAATCTATTTAAAAAATGCACAAGTAAAATATTATTGTTAATATTACTTCTTGTTAACCAAAAGTGTTTTTACTTAAATGACTCAGTTATATCATTCATAGTTTAAGATGAATTGGTAGAGAAGTAATAGTGACAGTTGAATAAACTTAAACCTCTGTTTATGGTATCTTTATAGCAAAACATATAACTATTCATTTAGTACTCTACTGATGTCTTTGTTGTATTATCAATATCTCTATCCTTTCTTTTTGTTTCTGTTTTGATTTTAGATCTGTTGGGAGAACATTTTGCACAATGGATGGGCGTGGAAGCCCAGTTCACATTCATCCTTCCTCAGCAGTAAGTACCTTATCCTATATAATAAAAAGCTAATATGCAAATCGACCGAATGGTGGAATGACTGGTTACTATGACACACACTGACCATCAGGGGGCAGATATTCAATGCAGGAGCTGTCCCCAGGTGATCAGTGCACTCTCACAGGAGGAGCGCCGCTCAGCCAAAAGCCAGGCTCACAGTTGGATTGATACATAGAAGTCTTCTACTTTTTGCTTTGAGGTTAAGTTTAGAATTTAACTATCCTAATTTATAAAAAGCCAGGGGCCGTCACTACTGAAACAACTGAACAAGCAATTGAACAGTAGGCTGTGTGGGGTGCTAAGGCTGGCAGGGTGGTTAGTGAGGGATGACCAAACCACTGAACAGCAGGCTACATGGGGCAACCAGGCCGGGAGGGGGGGTGCAGTGAGGGGGCAACAATGCTGGTGGGACAGTTGGGGACAACCAGGCTGGTGGGGGTGGAGGGGCAGCTGAGGGTGACCAGGCCAGCAGGAGGGGGGGAGTTGGGGGCAACCAGGCTGGCAGGGGGGGCAGTTAGTGGCAACTAAGCCAGCAGGGGGGCTGTCGGGGGAGACCAGGCTGTCTGGGGAGGGGGGGGGGGGAGTTAGGGGCGACCAGGCCAGCAGGGGGAGCGTAAGGGGCAACCAGGCTGGCTGGGGGGAGGCAGTTAGGGGTGATCAGGCTGGCAGGCAGAGGTGGTTAGGGGTGATCAGGCTGGCAAGGGGGGGGGGGCAGTTAGGGATGGTCAGGCAGGCAGGAGGTGAGCAGTTAGGAGCCAGTGGTCCCCGATTGTGAGAGGGAAGTCTGACTGCCGGTTTTGGCGTGATCCCTAGGATTGGGCTGAAACCGGCAGTCACACATCCCCCAAGGGGTCCCGGATCAGAGAAGGTCCAGGCTGCGCTGAGGGGACCCCCTCCCCCCCATGCACAAGGGCCTCTAGTATTACATAAAGCTGTAAAGGTATTGAGTTGGTCTGTATATCCTGGTTGAAGTATATAGGGATTAATTCAGAAGAGTTTGGACTAATAGTATTTGGTTGGGTTAACGTGGAATAAGGCAGTTTATTGAGTTATCGTCTCTAAGTGAGTTCCTTTGTACAGCTTCATGAACAGGAAACAAAACTTGAATGGATCATTTTTCATGAGGTATTAGTTACCACCAAAGTCTATGCAAGAATTGTGTGTCCAATTCGCTACGAATGGGTAAGAGACTTGTTACCCAAGTTGCATGAACTTAATGCACACGACTTGAGCAGCGTGGCCCGACATGAAACAAGAGAAGATGCAAGAAGGAAATGGACAAATAAGGAAAATGTAAAACATCCAAAGGGTGAGTATATATCACTTGTTTTGGTCATATAGTCCAGGAAACATAAATGTCCAAATTTTTATGTAATCACAGAAATATTGTTATAGGACTTAGATTCTGGCTCTTTCTACTCAGAAAGCAAAGAATTACCACGAGTCTCAGACTTCATTATTTTGACTTCCTTCTTTCCTTACAGTTAATCTTGTTTTTGTTTTTGTTTTTTAACCTCTCTGTCCAAAAGCATTATTAATAAGAATATATATTGAGTTTTTATCCTATACTGAAAGCTTGGGAATTTTCATAATAAACTATAAGGTTAGTACATATTCCCACTTTATATATGAAGAAGTACTTAGCAGTGTACAAAACTTTGCTAAAAATCCCATGGCTCATAATTGGTGAATCTGGATTCTGAATCAACTAACCTGATTCTATGGTCCTTACTCTTAGCGATTATGCCATACTGCTTCCCAGTAGTACGTGACTATTTTTATTTACTTTATAAAGTTTTGTGAATTATTTCCTCAGAACATCTCTTTATTTTTTCATGAAATGTTAGGATCCTAATTGAGCGGCATAAACCGTAAGATTACTGAACCAGGACAGAAAGCTTAATTCTTAGTTCACACATACAAGAAGCTTTTCATTTCAGTAAAGCTTTCTGAGGCTGATTGATGGAACAAGTTATATTGTCCTTATTTAACATCACTGAGAAATGAAATGGTGAGGAATCTGCCCAAGATGATAGAATAGTCTTTTTAGTAACATAGACACTAGACATTTTGTTGCGGTGTGTAACTGTAGTGTATAAATGCTTGAATAGGGTCAGTTTTACTGACTGCTTTGGCTTCATGCTCTTGTTTTTTAGCCATGGACTATATCTTTCTTTTCTTTTTTTTGAAAAGGCAGAATTTAATTTTACCTAAACATTGAAAAATCAGGACATCTCTTTCTCTTAACCTCTCTAGCACTGAATTTCAAAATTCAAGTTTTACTGGATTAATTTGTAACATTTTCAGATGGAATATCAAAAGAAGTCCTAAAGAAAATGCAAAGGAGAAACGATGACAAATCCATATCAGATGCCCGTGCTCGTTTCCTTGAGAGAAAGCAGCAGAGGGCCCAGGATCACGGTGACACCCTGAAGGGAACAGGCTAAGCATCGAACCCTCCAATTCAGGAAGCAGGAAAAGCAGCCATGGAATGTGCTTCTACAATACTTTACCGTTTATGTAAGACAGCGCCGCCAAGAGGAAGTGGTCAGCAGTTGTTTTTAGCATATGGGCTAAAAGCAAATCAAACCCATTAATACCAATGGATGGAATTTTCAGAGAAGATTGGGTTGCCATAGTCATAGGCAGTGATATATGAAACCAATGAAAGACAATACATGTGATATTTTTCTCACTTCAATTTTGCTGGCCTTAACTGGTATCAAATGCTGTTGTTATTTTCAAAGAACATTGAATTTTCTGTTATCGGTGTGTATTCCATTTGCATTGAAGCATTAAAAATTATTTTCCTTAAATATCTTTAAGGCCTTCTTTTGCTATTAGAATAGTATTATATCAGGCTATCAGGTATGTGACCATTTCCTTCAGAAGGCTGAACATTAGAGGTTTTTATTCAGCAAAATTTAGATGTCTATTTAGTTGCTAAAGAGCTTTATAGATATTTAGAGAAAAGACTTAACTAGTCAATAGAAAATTGCCTATGGCAGTATTCTTTGTTGAATTAATATTAATACTTAAATTGATTTTTCTGGGATTATATAAATTCTTTTTTATATAAAAGTATATTTAAAATAGTAGCTATAGCCATTAACCAAAGGACAGATGTATGTATATATGTATGTATGTATATGTATATGTATATGTATGTGTTCTTTTTGTAGCTGTCTCTACATACTGTATCAGCATCATATATGTAGTTGTGACAGTGTTTTCAAACAGCTCTTCTACCTGGCCTACTCTCTTGCCTCCAGCTGCTTGGGTAGAACCATTTAAACATCTATTATGTTGTCTTGAAATGGGATTTTCAGAGCAGCCAACATTACATCACCAGTGTTTCAAATTGGAACCTTGAGGCTAATTAATACCACACTCAGGCCATATTCAACACTTGTCCACTCTATTGTTTACGTCTTGTATTCTAGTTGTTTGTGTACTTGCCTTTCTCCCACTACATTATATGCTCTTGTGGGCAGGAACTATCTCTTTTTCATCTTTGTATCTTTCATGGCACCTAGCACAGTGCTTTGCACATAGTAGTTGCTCAATGTTCGTTAAATAAAGCTATTAATGTATTTAAAATTCAAAAGACAGTATAATGTGTGTTTTTAGAATTTTTGGTAAAAACTAAGAATCTAAATTGGTTATTGGTAACTAACACTTCTGCAGTTAAATAGTTTTCTGTCAAAAGTAGAGACTTCAAAATCTGTATTGAAAAATCACATGAGGACCCAAATCCATGTGTTTGTTCTTGAAGTAAGGTGAGTGGTGACAGTTTCTATGAACGTTCCCTGCATTATTAATTTATTTTCATTTTAAGTGTTTCAGCATGTTTGTCCTATCAGTTCCCTTGTCAGGTGTATGTATTGGTGCACCCCTTTGATATGGTGTATGTGGATTCTTAGAATAAAAGCTCTTTTATTTCTGTAAATTAAGCACACATTCAGTAAGTTAAGCACATGTTCTAAATCTATAGTCCATTCTCAAATTTCATTAGATTTCGTAATAATGTCCTTTATGTTTTCCCAATTCAGGATTTAGTCAAGAATCAAGTATTATATTTAACCTCTTTTAATCTGGAAAAGGTCCTTAGTCTTTGTCTTTTTATGTATATCAATTCTTTTATTTTTCTTTCATTGCATTGAACATTTTAGAATAACATTTTGACATTTTAAAATAATACAGACTAGTTATTTTATAGAATGTTCTCAATTTGCGTTTCTCTGAAGGCATCAAATTTGGAGGCACATGGTATTTGCCCCTTATTGATAATAATTTTGATTGTTTGGTTAGGGTTTTTATTTCTTCAATAAGTAATTTGGAGGAGGATACTTGGAAATAGCTTATTTCTCATAAATTATCACCCTTTGGATTTATCATCAACTGATGATTATTGCCTGATTCAGTTTTATTCTATGGTTACAAAATGGCGATTCACCTCTAATTCTTTGCTATATTTATTTGTTATATTGTAAGGAAGAGCTTTCCTTGAAGAAGAATGTCTGATAAACAGATGGGTGCTAGAGAGCATAGCTCAGGACAGAGAATTAGAAAGCTAACAGGATGGCAAATAGTCCAGTTTGTTTGGTGCACAGAGTATATATAGAAGGTATAGGCTAAAAATGTTGGTCAAGGACAGATTATGGAAGGCTTTGAAAGCCACACTATGGAATTAAGACATTTTTGTGCTATATATGAATTTATTGGAGGGGAGTGACATCATTACAGCCTTAAGGTGTATTTGTGGCAGTGGTGTCCATAAGAGGAATTTACAGTATATCTTTGAGAGGAATAGTACTGGATCTAGTTGAAAAGGTGGAAGGAGCCTTGGAGGAAAACGTGGTGGTTGTGAAGACGTTTGTTTTTTAAAGAATATAGAAGATTCGCCTTTAAATTACTAAATGAGACAAAACAAAAAGAAACAAATGAAGACAAATGTTATCATAGAAAATTAGGCAAAGGATCCAGCCTGTCATTTCATAAAAGAAGAAACATGAATGGTCAATAAATAAGATCCTGAATCTTCCTAGTAATTAGGGAAATACAGGTTGAAAATAACAGATGCCATTCTTTTTCATCAGATTGGCAACAGTAATATGCCTGAAAAGTACTGACATAGAATTGTTTTTTAGAGAACAATTTTGGTAATATGTAGTAAAGTTGAAGATGTGCCTAACACATTAAGCATCCAGTCAGTCACCAGTGACTGACACTATACTTTCCGTCCAGAAAACAAAACAGGCTGGGCGCTTAAATGTGTTAACCTGTGACCCACCTTTACATTTACATCCTAGGAACTCAGATTATATAAAATACTTTATTCCTCATAAAATGTAACTCCCATAGATTTAACATTAGTTGATTCATAAAAATGTTATGTATACCATTGTTCCTAATAATATTGAACAGTGCATATAGCTATCAATAGGAAAATGGTTGAATAAATTGTATTATGTTCTTATGGTTGAATTCTTTACAGCGTGCATCAAAGTGATCTTTGAGACTCCTGATGCCTGTTCCTAATCTGCTTTGCAGAATAGATGAACCAGTTTACATTCCTAACAGCAATGTAATAAAGTGCCTGTCTCATTGTAGCCTTGTAGTTCCTAATATTCTTTTTTTTTTAATATATTTTATTGATTTTGTACAGAGAGGAAGGGAGAGAGATACAGAGTTAGAAACATCGATGAGAGAGAAACACCGACCAGCTGCCTCCTGCACACCCCCCACTGGGGATGTGCCCGCAACCAACTTACATGCCCTTGACCGGAATCGAACCCGGGACCTTTCAGTCCGCAGGCCGACGCTCTATCCACTGAGCCAAACCGATCCCGGCTAAAATGTAGGAAATGTGATGGGTTAACCCAGTGGTCGGCAAACCTCGGCTCGCGAGCCACATGCAGCTGTTTGGCCCCTTCAGTGTGGCTCTTTCACAAAATACCACGTGCGGATGCGCACTTACAGTGTGATTGAAACTTCATGGCCCATGCGCAGAAGTCGGTTTTCAGCCTGGGCGAGTCTATTTTGAAAAAGAGGTTCTAATGCCGAGCCACACTCAAGGGGCCAAAGAGCTGCCTGTGGCTTACGAGCCATGGTTTGCCAACCACTGGGTTAAGCCAGAGTATAAGCTGGCACCCAGTTTGGTGCTTTTTGTATATATTGGTATTTATAAACGATTGTTGTGCTCATTCCAACGTAAGTTATTCTAGGCTTCAAAATAAATAGGTGGTACAGTCATTAAATGTTACTAGCTTAAGAAGTAGGATAAATAGATTTTAAACTGAGTTTTTAAGGAAAAGTAGGATTTGGACTACAACAAAAAGGAGATAATTTTTGTGGCTGGGAAAAAAAATCAAATGGTGAAAAGATTGTCACCTGGAGAAGGGCTTTCTCCCCGCCCCCCGCCCCCCCCAGTAAGGATTTTGCAGTTTCTAGTCAGTAACCTGGGATAACAACACTAAGTAGGTCAAATGAATAATTTGAGTGCCATTCATTCTTGCAGATAGAAAAATATGAAAGTCAGCTTGGACTGGGATTATCATTTTAGTGTGTAGCACTTAGAATCTGCCATTGTGTGCCCATCTGCTACCCTATTTAGTCCCTCTGTTCCTCCAGAAATGGAGTTTTTAGGCCCTCAATGAGGAGTGTAACCTCACCTATACATTAACTAGACCGTAGGCCCGGTGCACGAAATTCATGGGGGGTGAAGGGAGGGTTCCTAGCCTGGCCTGCACCCTCTCCAATTCAGGACCCCTCGGGGGATGTACAACTACCTTTCACAATCTGGGACCGCTGGCTCCTAACTGCTGGGCTGCCTGTCTGATCACCCCTAACACCTCTGCCTGCCTCCCTTATCACCCCTAACCACCTCTGCCTGCCTCCCTTATCACCCCTAACTGCTCCCCTACTGACCTGATCGCCCCTAACTGCTCCCCTGCTGGCCTGATCACCCTATTACCTCTAACTTGCCCCACACCTGGGACCTAGGAGTTTCTTCAAGTTTGTTTGTGCCTGGCTGGTCCCCATTCCTCTCTCCCCAGTGTTGAGTGAGCCTTTAAGGCTTGATGACCATCTGGACATTAGCTCTTTGTTATATAGGATAGTCTGAAAATAGAGATGATTAAGGACTGCCTTTATCAGGTTTTTATTTTCACCCTATGATAGCTTTAAGTGGCTGGCATATCTAACTTGAAGAGATTAGGTGCTAACAGTATTGGCTCAGGAAAGAAAAATAAAATTTAAATATGTGGTAGGCTCTTGAATACTATGTATTTTTCATTACTGTAGTGTTATGGACGGGACAGTAGCTGTATGATTGCATGTTGTACAACATTAAAGTCACAATTATTTGGAATAAGAGCAACCAGGAAAAAGAAATAACCAGGTTTTTGGTTCATTTTTACATAATCCACTTTTATCACATGACATAATGAGGTAAGGCATTTAAAAAAAAAAAGCAATTTCTAGTGTATCCTAAATTTGGATATTCATATCAGATCAGGCTACATTTGCAGAACTTACTACACAATGATGAATCTGAGCCCCCACCCCCTTTTAAAAATGCTCTCAAAAATACGTTTTCATTGATTTGAGAAACATCAATATGAGAAAAACATTGATTGGTTGCCTCTTATACGTGCCTGAAACACTGTTGTTATCGAATTAACCAAAATTTTGTTTACCGAATCAGCCCTTAACCATTCTGTTCTGAGGAAGAATTTACTATGGTAACAAGTCTGTATGTACATGGTTACTGGTAGAACTATCCCTGTATTTTAAGATGCTGAGAGAACGTTTATGGGCCATGCCTTGCTTTGGATTGGAGACAGTAAAAAGTAGGAAGTGACAAGAGACAGTTCTACATATTTAGAAAGGAAAAAAAAAAAAAGCCCATAGCAATCATTCTCACACCTGTAACCCTCTCATTGCCCCTTCAGTTTCAATCTTCTTTCAGTTTTTTTTGTGTATGTAAAGGATGTTGTGATGTGGCATTTGACTATATATATATATTGTTCAGCAGGGTTACAACAGGAATTTTTCTGAATGCCCCGAGTATTTGAACCAACTTTCCTGAGATGACTGTAAGGCACTGTTTTGAGCCACTTCACTCCTTTGCAGGGATCTGATTTAACCTTTAGAAAACACGGTAGGGGAATATATAATCTGACTGGAATCCGGATATTCCCACAGGGCTGTTCACTTGAACATGTTCAGTCCTCACACAGAATAAAGATTCACTAGATCTTATTGCCATCCGTGATACATTATAAAATTTATCTGTATAAATTTGGTTTAAGACAAGCCTGAGTGAATGATTATTAAAAGTTCAGATCCATTTAATTCTAAAAAAAAAAAACTGTGAAAAATATTTTTTTTCTTGTCTTGTTTTTGGGTTTTGCCTATAATCAGTGCTTTGTACGGGCCCAAAATAAAATGGGCACTGTCTGTTGTGTGATACCTGAGCCACTTACTGGGCATTGATGTGTGCTGCTCTTTATTTAATCCTGCTGGATTTAATTCTTTATTTAATTCTTTGCAGCAGCCCTAGGGGGGACCAGATGTTTCAAAGCTGCTGTTTAAAGGTCAAAGCCAGTTATCTTACTTGGGTAAAGCTAAAGAATATCCTGTTTGGTTTCATGAAAATCTGAATTTTAAATATTTGTTGGGTATAATGGTTTAGGTGTAAAGTCTGATTTAAAATTAATCTCAATGTTTGAGAATTGCCTTTGTGGCTGGCTTTTGCAATGCAACTAGCTCACGTCGTTTTTAAAAGGTCAAGTTAATTCTGGGGCTGCTTGTAAATGAACAACCACAGAGGACTATAATAAGTTTTCCTGAGGTGTCATTCCTTTTCTTTATTTATATATTTTTATTGATTTCAGAGAAGGGAGAGGGAGAGAGAGAGAAACATGAATGATAAGAATTGATCAAGTGAATCTTGCACGAACCCTTACAGCAGATCAAGCCCACAATTCAGGCATGTGCCCTTGACCAGAATCGAACCTAGGACTCCAGTCCGTAGGCTGAAGCTCTATCCACTGAGCCAAACCATCAAACCATAATGACGATAATGATGAATATCGTCATTCTTGATGGTGATATTCATGTATATATCATAGTTACTAGCATAAAGTATATAATAGGGGCACAGTAAAGGTTTCTTGTATAGGTTTTGAAAAACTAGCACTCCTCAAAATAGCATATGACCAATGCAGTTTTTGCTAATGGTATTTGCTATCACCCTACTATTGAACATTCTTCTAAAAAATAGCTTCAAATGGAAAGAACTTGACCACTTAAAAACACAGCTTACCTTACTAAAATAGTTTCTAAAACCAAAAGCCAGGATGATATACATTTATAGCTCTAGTCTTATTAAGACTTTATCATAGTGAAAAAGTAAACCCAGCATTAGGTTATCTTCTCTAACTTAAGGTAGTGCCTTAAAACAGTAATTCAGTTACTGCTCAGGTAACTGTTAACAGTGACTCAGCCTTAGGGGGCTTCTAAACCAAGGATTGACAGTCTCCGTCCCCTCCCCCCTGCTTCTTTGCCCTTAGCAAAAGCATCCTATATAATAAAAGTCTAAAATGCAAATCAGCTGAATGGAGGAACAACTGGTTGATATGATGTGCACTGACCACCAGGGGGAAGACTCTCAATGCAGGAGCTGCCCTAGCCCGCAGGCTCCGACTGGCGTAGGTGTGGGGTGGGGCCAGCAAGTGGGCAGTGCGGGCCAGCCAAGGCCGATGCCAGTGGGTGCCACCCTCCCATCACCTGGTCACCCTGCACATCATCTCTGATCACTGGCCAGGCCTAGGGACCTACTTGTACACTGGGCCTCTAGTACTGCCATAAAAAGCTCTCATCATCTCAGCCAAATTATTGATCTTCAAAAGCCAGAGCTTTGGTTTAATTTTTATCATCTGGACCAATTTTCAAAAATGTGTTGGTTTCTTAGAGAGGAACATCAATGAGAGAAACATTGATTGGCTGCCTCCTGCAGGCTCCCTACTGGGGATCAACTTGCCATCTGGGCATATGCCTTGATCCGGAATAATTCCGACGACCTACTGGCCCATGGGTTGATGCTCAACCACTGAGTAACACCAGCTGGGCTGGACCAAATTTATCTGCCACGACATATATATTTTTAAATATATTTTATTGAATTTTTACAGAGATGAAGGGAAAGGGATAGTTAGAAACATTGATCAGCTGCCTCCCGCACATCCCCACATTGAGGATGTGCCCACAACCAAGGTACATGCCTTTGACGGAAATCAAACCTGGGACCCTTGAGTCTGCAGGCCGACGCTCTATCCACTGAGCCAAACCTGTTAGGGCAATATTTTGAATTTAAGTTAAAAAAAAGTCCACCACTTGCATCTATAGACACTTATGGCATACAAATGGTTAAATTTTTTTGAATTTTTTTTGAAGGATATATTGTTCAAAATGAGCTGGTATATTGTAATCTATTTTTCTTCTCTCCAAATGATTTCTGAGAAAAATGTATTCATTAGGTTTCTGTGTACGATGACACAGCAAGTCCCTTTAACAGAACCTCGGCAAACTTTTAGATATTCCACACCAAATATCCAAGCCAAAATCAGCTGCTTTAGGGATTCTGAATGTACTTAAAATTATAGGTCTGTATGAAAATGCAAGAGTTATTAATAAAGAAAATTTCCGTGGCTTGTTCATGATAGAACTCTTGTATCCCAGATTCTGAGATTGGAAAATGTTATTTAATTAAGCTAGTGCTTTTACTGTAATAAAACATTCCTTTCGATTTTAAATTTAGATTTTTGTCTACTTCCAGAAAGGATTGAAAGCAGCTACTATTAAACTTGGTATTAGAAAGGTCATTTAAAACGTTGCAGAATACAGAGCATCTTCAAGTATTTGGTTTAACAAAATGAGGTTTTGCCAAACACAAATATTCACTTTCATGACATGGTGGCAAGTCTTGTCTTTGCAGAACATTCTCTCTCAATCCTTAGTGTGTAATGTATATTTTTTTTGGGAAAAAACAGTAAAAGCAATTCAATGATTAAGCAAACTTTCCAGGCGAAACTGCTTAACAAACAGAATTACTGTATACCCAATAAGGGTTTATGTTTAGCTGGAAAGGGCACTAAAAATAATCACTGCATAGTTGAGTTTTTCCTCAAGATCTTTTTTTTGGGGGGGAGGGAGGGAATAATCACCTCTTATAAAGGTGAGAAGCACAGAACTAACTTCTTTTGTCTCCTATTGTATTTCTGCTATTATGACATATTGCAGCTCCCATTTTAGCAAGAAGGGACTGGGAGGTTATTAACCGATCACGAATACCCGAGATACATTAACGCTGTGAAAAGGCTCGACACGCACCCCAGCTGTTTGCCAAACTGACAGGCAAAGGGGAGGAGGTGGTTCCACCAGCAGCAGTTAACCTCTTTCTCCGAGTGTACATTAGTCACACCCAGGAAGAACCTTGACTTTCCAAACCACTCTTCACCGTAATTATCTCAATCTGACTCACTAATGACTTGATGTGGCAAAAAAAAAAAAAAAAAAAAAATCCCTCCTGCTGCAATTTTGGTCCAATTCTTCCGCGTACTTTATGGAACTCAAACCCTTTACTATCATACACCTTTATAACGAAGCTGGACCGACATACATGTCCGCCAAAATGTCCGCAGAAAGCGTTTGGAAAAGCTGCCACAAGGCCAGCTTGAGAGACCTGAGACAGGGCCTTCGCTGTCCGGATGGCCAGATATTTAAGTGACCCCCGGAGAGACGACCACTTTCCACTGAACTTCCCGACCGGCCGCGGGGCGCGCGCTCCCGCGGGCAGGGAGGGCTTTAAAGCCCCGTCGCCCCCTCCCTGGCTGTAAGGAGACACCCACTGGGTGAAGCCGGGCGGGGGAGGCGTGCCGCAGTCGCCAGGGCCGCGAGCGAGCGCGCCGCAGGGAGGCCGTTTCCCTGAGTCACCCGGCTGGCGGGAGGCCGGGCCCGCCGCCCACGCCGCGTCCTCCTCCCGAGGGAGTCGGTCTGGACAAGCAGGGCCCAGGGGGGAAAAGGGAGCGGTACCCCCCACCCTCCGGGCGGCCCGGCCGACGCCACACTCCCAGGAGACCCCATTCCCCTAGAACCCGTCCCGTGTTCCGAGAGCACATCAGCCGACCTTCCCCACCGGCGTCACGTGCGCCCGGAAGTTCGTGGGTGGGACCTACAGCGCCAGCGGAAGTGACGTCGTCCGCCCCTAGTCGCATGATGTGGCAAAATGCAAAAAAAAAAAAAAAATGGTGCGGGGGGAGGGAAAAGCAGCAGGAGACTGGGGAAAGTGATGAGTCCAAAAAAAGTAGTCCCTCCGCTTTCCCCTGTCGCCCTCCTGCCGCAGCGGCCGGCGGCGAGGCCTGGTGCGCACTGCGCCCCGGACCCCTGCGCCAGCGGCGCCGCGGCGCCGCGTGGAGGGGTACACAGGCGGAGGGGGTGAGGCGGCCGGGGCGGAGTTCTGCCGCCGGGATCCCTCCGCGGGGCTCAGCCGTTTCCGGAGTCTGCGCTGCGCCCGGTTCCGCCATTGCGGCTCTCGCGGACCCTGGAGCCTCCGCCCCCGACCCGAGCTCTCGTCTCTGTCTGCCAGTTTCCTGCGTCCCCGGAGAGTGATCTCGCCGAGCCCGGCCTTCCCCCTCCCCTTCCTCCTCCTCTCCCTCGGAGAGTCCGGGCAGCCACTGCCCCGCAGCCCCAGTGACAGGAGGAGACCGTACCCCCGACAGCGCCATGGCCCAGATTCTGCCAATTCGTTTTCAGGAGCATCTCCAGGTGCGGCTCGGCCGGGGCTGGGGCGGGCTGTGGAGAGGGTGGTGAGAAGGGGAAAAAAGCTGGGTGCTGGGCCCAGTTCAGAGGTGTGGTGGTGGTGTTGGGGGGGCTGGGGGTGTTGGTGTCTGAGGTAGATGGAGGATGGGGGCGCGCTCTCGGGAGGAAAGGGTTACATGGGGAGAGGTTTGGGTGGGAACGGGGGAGAGCCGGGGTGCGAAGGGCAGCGGAGCCAGTCCCGGGCTCGAGGGCCTTTCCATTTTCTCTTCCTGGGTGGCGAGGGCTGCGCAGACGAACTGCACCCCCTGCCCAGTTTTATGCCGTTCATTCATTGGGGCAGGGTGCGGGGGGACGCATTCTCCCGCGTTTCTTCCGGAGCTGAGATCCCGTGGCCTAGGCCGCTGTAGGGCTGTCACCTCCCATTGCTTTTCTCTTCCCTTTCCCCCCCACCGTGTCTGCACCCAGGAGTTGCGGGGCGGGTGGGTTGGGGAGGAGCAGCCTTTTCTTTTTTTTTTTTTTCCTTGCTCCCTGTGCTGAGAAAGACACCTTCTCCTGGGGGGTGGGGAGGAATGGCTGGCCTCCTGCTTTCCCCGAGGCAGGAGGAACAGAAGGTCACTCGGAAGGAACTGGAGGAGGATAGAATGGGGGAACGTGGTTCTCACTTAGGGCGGTGTCAGTCTCAGCGGGCGTGGGGTCAAGGTCCCTAGGGGAACTCGCATTGCCCCCTCCTCCCCCCTTTTCTTCATTTCTCTGGGGTGGGGTGGCTCTGATCCCCCTGGGTTCTAGGGGAAGAGTTATTCAGAGCTTATCTTGGAGTCTGCTGGAGTTTAGCAGGTGCTTGTGGGCGTGAGTACCTCCCTCCCTCCCTCTGGATTGCGTGGAATTGGACACAGCCCTGGGGGATAGAGCTCACCTACTCTTGAGATATGCAGTTATTTGGTCTGTAATTTGGTTTCCTTTTAGTAGGTTGTAGAATTCTTCCCCACGGTGCATATACTGCCTTATCTGGCAGCATGCCCGTGGAGGGCCCAGGCAGGTGATCTTGACTGCATTCAGCCTTTTCCGAGCTGCTTCCTGGTTCACCAATCCTGGTTTCACTTTGGCTGAAATAATCCATTCATATTCATTTTCTTCCCAAATATCCCTTCAAGAGGCCTGCCTCAGCTCAGCCTTCTGATGCCATGGTTTGACATAACACTAATATTAGTGACCTTTTGGACACTTTTACCATTGAAGGCTAATTTCATTTACTTTCTCCCATTGTTATTATGTACATAAAGGATTATCGTTAATAAAAAGGTTTAATATCCAGGCTATCAGTATACTTCTTTTATACACCTTTGCTTACATCTGCAATAAATTATTTTCCTTTAAGTCTTCAAATGTAGTGAGTAATCTTTTTAAAAACTTTTTTATTGATTAATTTTTAGAGAGGAAGAGAGAGAGAAACATCGATTGTTTCACTTGTTTATTCATTCATTTGTTCATTTGTGTGTGCACCCTGACTGGGGATCGAACCTGCAACCTTGGCATATCGGGATGCTGCGCTAACCAACTGAGCAGCCCAGCCAAGGCAATAATCTTTACTCAAAAAAATGAGTTAAGTAAAGCACTTTCTTCAGTCATCTGTGGTTTTCAGATCACTCATTTGAAGTAATGGGACATTATTTTATAATAGGTTAAAATGTTAAGTGACAGAATAGACACAAAAAAGTTATGCTCAATCTAAATTTTAATCACTATGGTTATGTCTGTTACAGTGAAGTGTCAGTAAATGTGAAGGGTTAGGAAAACAATGCTCTTGGGTGTGGAGGAAAACAGGCTGCTTACACTAAGGAGTATACATCTGATGCATACACAGTCATGTTGCAGACAAATGTTTGTGAAATCATACATGGAGAAGCAGGTACAGTTGCTGTTTATAAGGTAGAGGGTTTAGCCCACTATTAAATCTCACTTCTTAAAAAAAAAGTTTTATTGATTTATAGAGGAGGGGAGAGAAACATCAATATGAGAAAGCAACATTGATTGGTCCCCCCAGCATGCCGCCCCTCCTCCACCATGATTAAGCATACTCCCCAACCAGGAATTGAACCAGCAACCCTTCTTTATGCAGGTCTATGCCCAACCAACTGAGCCAAAGCAAATCTCATTTCTTGACTAGTGATGGTTTGGGCAATAGTTTTTCATTTCTATTAATGAGGGAATAAAAATGGTTAAGTAAACTCAAAGATTGGAATCCAACCTTATCACTAATTGATAACATTTAATATGGGTCTGATTTCTAAGGGAATCAGAATTTATGCAAATATTTGAGTGAAGCCATTTCCTTTTCAAATAATTTGAAGTTTTGAATGTAAAGCAGCTTTTCAGTTACACTTGAAGATTTCATTTCACTCATTATTATTATTATTTTTTTGAGTAATATGCCATGTCTAAACTTACGCTTGCTATTGTGACTGTATTCTTCAGCTGATAATGATGAATTGTGCAGAGCCCCCAGTCACTAGCCAACCTCTTCCAGGATATATATCTCCTGACTTCTCATTTTTATCTCTTCCCTTTAAAAAATTAATAAAGATTATTTTAACTGGCATTTTAGGTCTGACGTCTGAGTCCCTGCCAGTTTGCCAAGTAGCAGAAAACACACTGAAATACTTAGGATAAAAATTAGGAACAAGAATTGAGGAACTTGAATGTAGAATTAGCTTGTGAAAGCTTTAAAATGTGAACTGTAAATGAATTTATTTTTGTAACATATTAATACTTTGGCCAGCTGAAGGATCTGTTATTAGAGCAAATAAATGTTAATATTTTAAGTTATGAAGTGGGGTTTTTTGTTTTGTTTTTTGGATGTGGTTTTTTTTATTTTTTATATTTAGGTTGAAAGCAGTCAATAGATGAATGCCCAGTTGAGCAAGACATTGTTAGAGTTGCAGATCCTGAGGGGGAAAAACTTAGATTATATATATAAAATGGTGCTTGCAGTTCTCAATTCTTGGCACATTAAGTATGTTTATTCCAACTGACACATCCCACTGTGTCACAGGTTCCTTGAGTCTGCAATTAAAAAGTCTCCCAACCCTGTTCTTTTTTCTTAAATCTATACATATAAAACTGGAAGGTGGTGTGCATTGAACAGTAGAAGTTCTTGCTGTGGTTATTTTGGTTTGCTAAGAGAAAACAATGTTAAGTATTGCTGGGATGTGTATATGCTCTACTGTACTCCCTGAAAGAGGCAACTGCCTGGAATTATGCTGCAGTCCACCCTGGGAATAGCTTCCAGATTTAAGATGTATCATGTTTTTCAAAATTTTCCTAATGGTCAATTTACTCAGCTTATAGGGGGTGGCTAATTCTAGTAAATGCTTTCACTCTCTAGGAAATCATTTAAGACATGGAACTGTGTGTGTAACCTCAATCATTTTCATTTTAGTGCACAGTAAAATACATGAATTCAGAAACCTCAACCTATATTACCTGAATTACATTTCACAAGATGTCTTTTTTTTCCAGTCACTGTTACTGATACAATTTTTGCTTTTTGAGAGTTACTGTCCAGTAGAACTTTCTTCCATGATAAAAAATTTGTACTATCTACATAGGGATATTGAGCAGTTGGGTTAACTTTTACTTTTATTTCTTTAATTAAATGTAAATAGCCACAAGAGGCTATTGACTATGACATTGGATGTTCAATAATAGGCCATACTGATGTGCTTCGTGTGAAGATTTATCTGACCACCCATATTTACTTGTAGAACATTTTGTTAACTAAAATTAAAACATTATTTGAAAGTCTTAGTTGAATACTGTCTCTTGGGTAAGTGGTGTTGATGAACAATGACTAATGGACGGAGGGAGAAGTAGACTTGTGAGAGCCTCTTGTATCCTGTGAATGTGACTGGTCCTTTTAGGTCTTCACTTAATCTCCCACATCTTTCTTAAACAGTTGAAGAAAGTGAGATTCAAACACAAGGTCAGCCTAGGTCTTCTCACAAACTATTCCAAAGAAGTAAGATGATTGGCCTTAAGAGAAGTTACACAGCCCTGGCCATAATTAGAGGTGATTAGACTGTTGTCCCGATATGACAAGACTTTGGATATGATTTTCGGTCAAGGCACATACAAGAATCAACCAATGGCTCTAACTGGTTTGTCTCTGTGGATGGAGCATCGGCCTGTGGGCTGAAGGGTCCCGGGTTCAATTCCAGTCAAGGGCACATGCCCGGATTGCAGCTTGATCCCCAGTAGGGGGCATGTAGAGGGCTTTCAATTGATGATTCTCATTATTGATGTTTCTATCTCTCCCTTCCTCTCTGAAATCAATAATACATTTAAAAAAAAAAAAGAGTCAACCAATGAATGCATGACTAAGTGGAACAAAAATCAATCTTTCTCTCCCTTTCTCTAAAAATCAGTTTTTTGTTTGTTTTTAAAGAGAAGTTATGCAGTATCCTGGTATGCTTTTTTTGTTGTTGTTGTTGGACTTTGCCCCCAAAACGATTTCTCTACTAGTTTAAAATGTATTTAATGATGTGGTATAGTAGACAGATTAGGGGTTTGGGGGTTGTCAAGACCACTGCTATCCAACAGAAAAATAGTAAGTGCAATATATGTAATTTTATATTTTCCAGTGACTATATTAAAAAAAACCACAGGTGAAATTAATTTTAGTATGTTTATGTAATTCAGTATATCCCAAATGTTACAATTTCAACCTGTAATCAGTATAACATTTTCAAATGAGATATTTTACATTCATTTTTATGGGGGTGCTGAATTTTCAAAATCTGATGTGTATTTTACACTTAGAGCATATCTCAATCATACCCTATTTTCATTGGAAATGTTTGATCTTATTTAGCTTTCATAAAATTTGCAATTGGAAAAGCAGATTTGTGTACCTAGATTATACAAGCATACTTAAGTTTCCATAAATAATCTATCATTAGTAACTATCTAATTTTAATTTTGAAATAAATTCAGTCACAGTAACATTTCAA